CGTTCAAGGACCTAAACGCACTAGTATAAAAGTTATTTGTTTAGAGTTGATACCTATATAAGAGGACAACATGTACACCCACCAGGTAGTGGGGATATGGAAGGAAATGCAAAATAGAACCAGTGGAGTGTAGAAGCGCCACAGGCACAGAGAGTACTGTATGAACATCAAAGGTATAAAAGTGGAGCTCTTCAGGGAAAAAAGGACACTTTTCTGTAAGAAGTGCCGGACCAACCGGGCTGTAGTTGATATGTGGGCCTGCGGGTGCTTCCAAGCAAATAGTTTGTTGGACTAAGCTCTCAAAGTCAAGCCGGGCTTGGCGGAGTTGAACCATCACCAGAACCCCCATTTACGTACAATCTAGGTATAATAAAGGATTGCTGTATGTTTTCTTGCTGCACTATCTTGCCTGCCTGGATACGGATGTGATGACAGAGCACTATACCATTCAAGGTAGCAACAGTACTTTGAAGAGTACCACAATTGGTGTGACATCACTTGTTTTGAATGTTATCTTCCACCCATAATTTTCCTGACTCACTGTTTTGTTGCGTTCTCTGGACGTTACATCTTCTGGCACTATTATTAAAAGACCTTTCACTTGGTCACTCCTTTCCATGAGGTCCGTCAGTCTTCTATCCTGTACACCTTTAAAGGTTTAGGTGATTTCCGGTCCTAGTACTTATTGCCACTGATTGTTATGAGGGGGTTGTAATACAAACGTCTGTACCCTTTTGTTAAAAATATAACACTGGTACTATAATACTGGTATAATACTGTATGCATCTTCAGAGGTTGTGGCCACGTCGCTGAGTATGGCTCCATGGGCCAGTCTTGGAGTGAGAAGTGTTGGCAAACAACCGAGACGATGACAAACACTGGGAGCCTTGTGCAAGAAGAATACTAACCTATAAAAAAATTATGTATAAAAGTAATTATGTATTGAAGTACGGCACTTCATATAAATAAATATTCATTCATTTCTAAGGTGGAGAAAAAATTAGTCTATAAATGTCATACAATCTGTAAGAAGTGTTTGTATTTCTAGCAGTTGCAATGTTTTCGTCAACAATCGGTTCATTCGGTAGCAGTCTTAAACATTTTGATAACAGCGAATATCGTTCTCAGCGTGTAGTGGGTTGGTTTATGCATTGTGTAGTCATAGTTCAGTAGGGTTAGTGACTCCCTCATGGCTAACTCCGCCCTTTAGTAACCTATGACTAGGTTTTTCCTGCCCGAAACGCTTTGCGTAATAGTGGTTTTAGGCTTTGTATGTACTAGCTCTATCTATAAATCCATCAATGTTTGTATCTCACCTTGTATGTATGTACTTTACCTGAATAAACATTTGATTTGATTTAACTGAACCTGAAACTAGTCCCACTTAAGTGCTAAGTGTGTCGGAGTGTGTCAGATACACGGTACAAGCTGGAATACTGACTCGTACAAGATACTGTATAGGTACCTCATTTGTATACTGTGTTTTTGGGAGAGTAGGTAGGCTTACTCTGCCCTGATGTGACAATCGGGTCTCTGTCTGAGGCCTCTACCTTCACCATTAAGCTTTCAGTGAATGTCTTCATGTTGTTTTTTAGATTCATCTACTCAGAACAAAACATTCCAAACAGCACGGGCTATGGTGAGCTCGTTGTACTTATCTGGCACAGATGTGCAGTGAATGTCTCTATATCACGTCTCAAGATTTATAATTATTGATAATTTTTTGTTAATACTTTATTCTTAAGTAGCCGTGTGTCAGAGCCAGATCATAGAAATTGTAATTTTAAGAGTGACTTAAAAATATTTATCTTGTCAATTGTGATAATGTGAACCAGATATGTGAATTGTTTATTATTGATGAAAAGCTGTCGTCAAGTTAGACATATTTTGTGTAACCAATGGGATTCTTGAGGGAAATTGCGTCTGCCTAGCTGTAGCAGTAACTGGAAATTAGTTGACTGTTGTGGGTTGCATCTTGGGGAAGATCGCGCATTGGCTAATAGGACCTTGGTAAAACTAACAGGCTTCCTATCCCAAATAATGTTTTAAATGTGTCATTAAGGGGTTATAAAGCAGGAAGAAGCGAGGGAGGAAGGTAGCACTCGCACGTAACGTAACCCAAGTGCATTCAGGTCGTTGTCTTTGCTTGTAACTGTGATGGTGCCCATAAACACCGTGTGGTGAGGACACATGAATGGTTGGCAACGCTTGCCGCGTTTCCACATTGCCCCTGCTAGTTCAGTTGTGTACTCTACAAAATTTGTCTGTTTAGTCTTTATATCGCTCAGGTCTGGACCGAAACATTTTAGACTAGTCATTCATTATTTAGTCAGGTTTGTTATCTGGCAATAATATTCATTTACATGATAGTAAGAAGCTGTAAATACTCTGCGATGTAAAAGTGAGCCAACGTGTTTCAGGAAAATAATTTTACCTTTCGGTGTACCAGATGCTTGGTTGGGTGAGAGGTGCATAGTAATGAGCAAGTGTTGTGGAGGTACACGTGTTCCAATCACCAGCACGGCTGCCCCAGCAGGTGCGGAGAATAATGTACACTATGAACTTAATACAACTTCAACCACCAGTGGTATCCACCCACTCGTACCCGAACAGGAAATGTTAAGTTCTTACTGACGTAATCATGCAGCTTGCCAAGATAAGCACCAACTAAAAAGAAGAAAAAGTTGAAGGGGGGTGGGGCTTGGTAGGGAAGTGGCAGGTGGAGGGGCCATAGAGGAGGGGAAGGGAGGGTGTGGGGGCAATAGGAATAGTTTTAGGGTTCCAAATTACAAGCCAAGAGCTGTTATCCTATATCAACTCATTTAATGCCTAACCCTAGAAAATGATCAATATAGTGAATAAACAATTATATTATTGGATACAGTACTTGAATGTAAAGTTACCATCATACAATATTATGTATAGAGTGAAGTCACAGTTAATTGTTTATGGGCTATTCATGCCCGTGCCACCTCTTGGGTGGCTTAATCTTTGTCATCATCAGTGGTGTGTCAGAGCCTTCATATGTTCGGTTAAATTGATTTCATACTGTCTGTCACTCTTCTGGAGGGAGCTGCCACAATTTAATTAAATCACTAGTTGTGTATTTGTTTCAAATAAACTTATTATTCATTTGATATTCCCTGTATGAAGAGATTCCCTGTGTGGGAGATTCAATAGTTTGATATATTTTTGTTATATTTGTATTTTTTGTTTCTAGGGTCTGAAAGAGGAAGATGACAACAGATATTAGTGTGGGGGTCCGATGGGACCCCCTCAAGCAGGAAGAAGTGATCGAAGACTTCGACTACGATGGTGGAAACTCCTCCTCCAGATTGTTCGAGCGATCTAGGATCAAAGCTCTAGCTGGTGAGTTGCCTTAAGACATACATTGCCAGCTTTTGGAGTGGCTTCTCTAATGTAAATGTTTTTCTTCATAGCACTGTTATTGTAGAAATATTGCTAGCATATTAACCCTTGGTAGATACTTTTCTAACAGATCTTTCTAGGCTACACAAACTAGAAAATTATTCAGACATGTTAATTGCATCATTATATTCTGACCTAAATGATTACACATTTTATCAATATTAAAAATGTAATGAATTTGCCATAATAAGGCTTTCAGTATCGGTAGTTGGTGAATTGGTAAAAGGATTTAATCTATTTCTAGCCATACGCTTTATTCTTATAGCAGGGTTTTTCCCAGGTTATTTACTCCTAAAGAGTAAGTATTTTGTACCATTTGTGATAAGTGCAGTCATTATGTTTTATTAATAATTCTTGAGCAAGAATGACTAAAGTTATAGGCAGAGAATAACTTCCTGTAAATGGTACATTACTTCAGATTAAACAAAATTATTTTATCATAATTAGCAAACAAAAGAATTTTTGCTGTCATTGATTATGATGCATTTGCACTGCTGTATGTCACATTAACTAGCAGTGAGGGAGAAAGGGTAGATGCCCTGTCCTTAAAATGCTGCAGTAGAGTTAGCTTTTGGGTATGCAGGTGTATGAAATTAGTGCTGGGGCTCCCCACTACATAGTATACAATTGTGCATACTTCTCAATGTGCCCACTAAACTGAAAAAAAGAATGGTTTGCATCAGTTTGGAGGGCTGTCAGTAATTGATGTGTAGGTGAGGTGGGATTACCCATGTTAAAGGAACCTCATCCTGTGGGTGATAAATGGTAATTATGTCTACAGGATACACCTTACTACTCCTACCCACCACACAACCAGTTTAAGACATCACCTGTTGTGCTCAAATACAGTAATGTTGGTGCTTATTCTTTTCTACCATTTGCCTTAATTTAACAAATAATTATATTTGTGAGGAAGTTTGAGTGGCTGACACAGGAAGACTTATCTTATCCTTAGGAAATTTGTCATTGATTACTATTGTGTACAGTAATATTTGCTTTGATAGGAATTATTTTCAGAAGATGGTTTGTTACTAAGTGGTCCATATCCTGCAGAAATGAACTGTTTGTGGGACTGGGGTGGCTGGAATGTGACATGGATGGGGGTTGGTGGTGAGGGGTGGTTGAGTTTGGTTTGAGGTGTGGGTGGTAGATAAATGCAATGGGGGGGGGAGATGGTGGCAGTTTTATCTACCATTCATATCAATTGACATTATTGATTAATTACACCTGGATAAAATAGAGGTTCTGCACCTCAAAATACAATCTTAACAGTTAAGATAAGGTACAGTATAGCTTGTCACTAAAGCATGAGGGAGTGTTTGACAATTCCATTATGCTATACATTTATAATTGTGTGTGTGTGTGTGTGTTCTGTACCTGTTGATGGTTGTTTGGCTTATTTTCTTCATTAAATAATGAATAAAATTTGGCTGATAATATCTTGACATTACTCGGGGTTAGTGGTTTAATTTTCATGAAAATTTAGACAAATGAGGTTTTGGCAACTTTACAGTGATAATGGGATCAGATAGTGAACTACGTATACTCTTCTCTTCACATTAGCAGCAGTAGCGGGTTCACTTTGGCCCAAAGTGGTTTAAGTTCAAGTGCACATGTTAAAATAAATTTGACTCACTGATACTTCTTTTGTGTGGTGTTATCACTGTGAACATCCTGCCTCCACCTACGTCAGTGAGTGTTTGTTAACCAGACGAGATTGATGGTCGTTTTCTGACGATATCTAACTTAAATTTGACGTGATAAGTGTGTGTATTTGTTAAAGATATATTTAGTAAAGTGGAAGACCATCATACAATGGAAGATAATTGCTCTGCAATGGAAGATGATTGCTCACAGAAGTCAAGTGATCAGATTTTTGAGCAGCAGTCAATGGGTTCATCCCAGATCATCAGGGAGGAACAATGTAATAGAGAGAGAAAACAATGGAGGAAATCTCTTGGTGATGCTTGGAGATACTCCCTGGGTGATTTTGAGGGTAATATTCTCACTAATGAGACTACTAACAGTGCCAAGTGTCGTGTAGTACCCACAGAAAAGGAATGTAATAAAACTGCGGGCACAGATGCAAGTGATGATTTACCCGATGCCATGCTTGGCTATAAATTGGAGTCTGTGGATGGCATTAAATACAAATCTACTACCTCTACTCAGTTGTCCAGCAACATATTAACAGTTGCAGATAAATGCAGTATCAGTGAAAATTCTGATAATTGTTCTGATCAAAACGCTGATTATTTCCGAGATGGATCAAAGAGTGATGGAGATACATGCAGTGATACACGCAGTGAGCCTGTATTAATGAGATCTACTTCAACCAGCTGCTCCAGCCCGCATGACAAGTCTCCTACATCCCCATCCAGTAGTGAGGATGCGTTTCATGATATGAAATTTACGATATCTCCCTGGTCCCCATCTAGTGGGTGTACTCAATCGGTGCGTCTTATAAAGGTTCGAACAAGGAATGTCAGAAGATCATTAAGCAATGATCCTGATATACAAAGCCGATACATAGCATCTATGGAACACCACATTAAACTACTCAAAGGTAATAAACTGTTCGTAGTTGTTAATTCGGGTAGATTTAAAATTAAAAGATTAACTTCCAGTGCCTGCATTGGCTTATGTAACAAAGATAGAATGAAACAAATGGTACTGGATCTATTCCAAATTACCAAGGGTTCAATTGCATTAATGTTTCTGGCATTTTCTATTTACAATACTGTTTACTGTACTCAAAATTGAGCAGATCAGTTGGGATCGATCCCCAATATAGGTCATCATTGTTGTATCGCAAATTAACACAGAAATGACACTTAACCATATAATACAGCTGTATGAACACTGATGTTACAGTGCATAATCTGTGATGAAATTAATATTAAATTTAGCTGTCATGAAATGGAAGATGAAGATTTCATATTGATAATTTTCTTACTGATCTAACTGTTTGCACCTGTGGGTATAAGACTACTGTACTAGTGATAACCTGTCTCGGCATTTTCCTGCCATGTCCACTTTCAATGTACTGTATCTCATTTGGAAGTTGGCACTGCAAGTGAAAGCAATATCCTCCCTTGAACACTCTAAACTAGAAGAATGTCACTGCTGCTGGCCTGGATAACTTGGCGTCTGCTCAGTGGAGCACTTAATAATACCATTTTAAATTCCAACTTCTGTAATGCAATTGTCTTCTTCAGTGTAATTTGCATTGGAGCATGCTTAATGACATTTTATACATCTTGTATCAATATTAGCTAGGAGAGAGAGAGAGAGAGAGTACACCTTTTAAAAGAAAGATGCATGCCTGGTGCGAATGATTACATTAGAGAATTCCAAAGGTGATCTATATTTTGGCAAAAGCTACGTAAAGATGTCGGGTTGTCCTATACTGTAGATGGCAGATACCTCAGATCAGATGATGTACTAATGCTCAATATTATTAAGCCATAAAGAGAATATTAAGAAAGATAAAAATAATAGAGATCAAAGATTGCCGATAGCCTTTGGAGAAAAATGTTGTGTGAATTTTGGGGTGAAATTAGAAAAATTAAGTTCTTGCAAAGGGATCACGAATGTCATGGATAATTCCTATGGGCTCCGTAATAAAGAAACTGTTGACAACTTTTGAGAGACCAAAATTGGGATATGCAGCAGTTGTACAGTGCCCATATCTCAAGTGGCACATTGATAAACTGTAAAAGGTGCAAGAAACGTGCTATAATAGGGCTTCTTGAACTGAAAACCAAGAGCTATGAAGAGGCTACAGGCATTATATAGGCCAAAGCTAGACGATAGAAAAAAGAGGCAGTATGATCACCCCATACAAAATAGTACAGTTAACAGGAATTGACAAGGAATTCTTCAAACCTGCAACTTCAAGAACAAGAGGCTTTAGATTCAAGCTAAGGAAACATAGGTGCAAGAAAATATGGAACAAGCGAGACGGTGGTGGATGCCTAAACTGTCAGTACTGTAGTTTCAGTCATATAACAAAGCGTATTGGGAAGATGGGACACCACAAACGTATCTCTCATCCTGTAACTACACTTTGGTAATTACATACTTCAACCTAGGGGAGCCGGTCGGCCGAGCGGACAGCACACTGGACTTGTGATCCTGTGGTCCCGGGTTCTATCCCGGGCGCCGGCGAGAAACAATGGGCAGAGTTTTTCACCCTATGCCCCTGTAACCTAGCAGTAAAATAGGTACCTGGGTGTTAGTCAGCTGTCACGGGCTGCTTCCTGGGGGTGGAGGCCTGGTCGAGGACCGGGCCGCGGGGACACTAAAACCCCGAAATTATCTCAAGATAACCTCAAGATATGCTATATACAGGACAGACGTTATTGAAATTAATGTAACAGCAGTCAACAAGAGCTGCTTATATCTTGCTTACACCTACACACTGTAGCTTCTTGTTATGGTTGAGAAAGCAGTAATTTACCGAGTTTTAACTACAGTACTGTATGTCAGTAGGTTAATTGAACTCAAGGAAACACAGCTAGTCTTCTTCATTCTTGATGGATGACCCAGGCCAAGAAAGGGGGTCACTAATGTTTCTTTTAACTTGTGTAATTTTATTAAACCAGCCTATCCAGCTGGCCCTGTGTTGGTGTTATAAATAACTACGATTTCTGTACATAAATTGTGCATATTTTTTTAATGCAGTTGGCTAATAATGTGTTCTCTTTTAGATGAGCGTGAGAGTGTGCAGAAGAAAACCTTTTGTAAATGGGTAAATTCTCACTTGGTTCGTGTTAGTGCTCGAATTGCAGACCTCTACGTTGATCTTCGAGATGGAAAGCAACTCATCAAGCTTCTGGAGATCCTCTCTGGAGAACGACTAGTGAGTACAGTGGGTCACAATATTAAGTGTAAATATATATCCACATTCAGTACTGGATATACTGTACTTACAAAGATAAATATGGAGGAAGAATAATTTTGAGAAGGCAACTGAAGGAAAGGTAAATGGCAGCTCGTAGAAAAGGAGGGACATGAGTAAAGGGAGAGGAAAAAGAGAGGCATGTGTGTTTGAGAGAAGCTATATGGAAGAGGGGACAATGAGTAGTTGACAGGAAGGGAAGTGAAAGGATATATATGGCAGGATAAGGGACAAGGTTGCATGGCAAAGGAAAAGAAAGGAAAAGGCTCATTTCTTAGAAGGAAAAATGGCCATCATGAAATTTAGGCTTTGTAAAAGACATGAAAAGCATATCACAATTTGACAGTAAAGTGTAAGGCTACCAACCAAAAAAATTTGTGGTAAGATGAATTTTTCAGCCTTGGTGATGGCCAACAAGCTGTGAATAATTCTGTAGTAAACTTCCAAAATAATAAATTTGGTTTCTAAATAATTAGCATTTACAGTAACCACATTGTGTATATTTTCTTTATTTGAAGTGTTTGATCAATTTTTTTTTATACCCTCAGCCACGACCCACCAAAGGAAAGATGAGAATCCACTGCCTTGAGAATGTAGACAAAGCTTTGCAGTTCCTCCGGGATCAACGCGTCCACTTGGAGAACATGGGTTCACACGACATTGTCGATGGTAATGCACGTCTCACATTGGGTCTCATCTGGACCATTATCCTCCGCTTCCAAATTCAAGATATTACCATCGAAGAGACAGAGAATCAAGAGACAAAAAGTGCAAAGGATGCTCTTCTTCTTTGGTGTCAAATGAAGACTGCTGGTTATCACAATGTTAACATCAGAAATTTCACTACATCTTGGAGAGATGGCTTGGCTTTTAATGCCATCATTCACAAGCATAGACCAGATTTGGTGCAGTATGAGAAATTATCTCGTTCAAATCCCATTCACAACCTCAACAATGCTTTCAATGTGGCTGAAAACAAACTGGGGCTTACAAAACTCTTGGATGCTGAGGATATATTTGTTGAACAGCCTGATGAGAAGTCAATTATTACCTATGTTGTCACCTACTACCACTACTTCTCAAAGTTGAAGCAGGAGACAGTTCAAGGCAAACGTATAGGCAAGGTGGTTGGTATTGCCATGGAGAATGATAGGATGATCAGAGAGTACGAAGGCTTGACCTCGGATCTTCTCAAGTGGATTGAAACTACAATTGAATCTCTTAATGACCGAGATTTTGCCAACTCCTTAACTGGAGTTCAAACGCAGTTGACACAGTTCAACACTTACCGCACTGTAGAAAAACCACCAAAGTTTGTAGAAAAGGGTAACCTTGAGGTGCTGCTTTTTACTTTACAATCAAAGATGCGAGCTAACAACCAAAAACCATATTTGCCTAAAGAAGGTAAAATGATTAGTGACATCAATAAAGCCTGGGAACGTTTGGAGAAGGCAGAACACGAACGAGAGTTAGCATTGCGAGAAGAACTCATTCGTCAAGAGAAATTGGAGCAGCTGGCAGCTAGATTTAACCGCAAGGCTGGGATGAGAGAAACTTGGCTGTCTGAAAACCAACGTCTTGTTTCTCAGGACAACTTTGGCTTTGATTTGGCAGCAGTGGAAGCAGCAGCAAAGAAACATGAAGCTATTGAGACTGATATCTTTGCTTATGAGGAACGTGTACAGGCAGTTGTTGCAGTGGCACAGGAACTTGAGACTGAACGATATCATGATATTGAACGCATTAATGCCAGGAAAGATAATGTGTTACGGCTATGGAACTACTTGCTGGAGCTTTTGCGCCTTCGTCGTATGAGACTCGAACTTTCCCTACAATTGCAACAGAACTTCCAAGAAATGATATACATTCTAGATTCTATGGAAGATATGAAAGTACGGCTGTTAAGTGAAGATTATGGAAAACATCTTATGGGTGTAGAGGACTTGCTGCAAAAACATTCCTTGTTGGAGGCAGATATCAATGTTCTGGGTGAGCGTGTAAAAACTGTTATCGAACATTCTCAAAGGTTCCTTGATGATGAGCAAGTGGAAGGTTATCGGCCATGTGATCCATCCATTGTCTTGGAACGTGTGCAGCAATTAGAAGATGCTTATGGTGAATTAGTCAAGCTGGCAGTGGAGCGTCGACTGCGTTTGGAAGAGTCCCGCAAGTTATGGCAGTTCTACTGGGATATGGCAGAGGAGGAGAATTGGATCAAGGAGAAGGAACAAATTCTGTCAACTTCAGATATAGGGCATGACCTCATTACTGTTAACCTACTCTTGACTAAGCACAAAACTGTAGAAGAAGAACTTCTTTCTCATGAACCCCAAATAATGGCTGTTGTCAAGGTTGGAGAAGAGCTAATTGTTCAGCAACACTTTGGTTCCGACAAAATTCAGGAAAGAATTGATGAGATTATGGGAATGTGGAACAGCCTTAAGGAGAAGTCTGCAACCAGAAAGAAGAGGTTGACAGATGCAGTGGACCTGCATCAGTTCTATACAGAAGCCGATGATGTGGACACATGGATGCTAGATATACTGCGTTTGGTATCCAGTGAAGATACTGGCAGAGATGAAGCCACTGTACAGTCTCTACTTAAGAAACACAAAGATGTTACTGAAGAGTTGAAGAATTATGCCACTACAATTGAAGCTCTTCACCAACAAGCATCGGAGCTTAATGAGATTGACAGAGAGTCTCCAGATGTCGTTGAAAGGTTGGCATCAATTGATAGACGTTACAAAGAACTCCTGGAATTGGCAAAGATGCGTAAACAGAGACTTCTTGATGCCTTGTCATTGTATAAATTATTCACTGAGGCAGATGGTGTTGAACAGTGGATAGGAGAGAAAGAAAGAATGCTTCAAACGATGGTTCCAGCAAAGGATATTGAAGATTGTGAGATCATGAAACATAGATATGAAGGATTTGAACAGGAAATGAATGCTAATGCTAGTCGTGTTGCAGTAGTGAATCAACTAGCTCGCCAGCTGCTACATGTTGAACACCCTAATTCGGAAGACATTGTAACCCGCCAGAATCAGTTAAACCAGCGATGGGCAGAGCTACGGGAAAAGGCTGAGAACAAACGTGAAGAACTTAACTCTGCTCATGGTGTTCAGACATTCCACATTGAATGCCGAGAAACTGTTCTGTGGATTGAGGACAAGAAGAGAGTCTTGATGGAGACGGCTGATCTTGGTACTGATCTAAGTGGTATCATGACTCTACAGCGGCGTCTTTCTGGTATGGAGCGAGACTTGGCAGCCATTCAAGCAAAGTTGGATTCTTTGGAAAGAGAAGCAGATAAGATTAGTAAAGACCATCCTGAAGAAGCTGAACTTATTCGTGAACGTGTTGAACAAATTCGTGCTGTATGGGATCAGCTTACTCAACTCTTGAAGGAACGTGATGCTAAACTTGAGGAGGCTGGTGATCTTCATCGCTTCTTGCGTGATTTGGATCATTTCCAGGCCTGGTTGACAAAGACCATGACTGATGTTGCCTCTGAAGATATTCCATCTAATCTTGCTGAAGCAGAGAAGCTTCTTAGTCAGCACCAGTCTATCAGAGAAGAGATTGATAATTACACTGAAGATTACACTAAGATGATGGAATATGGTGAACGTATAACTGCAGAAGATGTCACTCCAGCTGATGATGCTCAGTATATGTTCTTAAGAGAACGTCTGAAGGCCCTGAAGGATGGCTGGGCAGAATTACACCAGATGTGGGAGAACAGACAACAGCTTTTGTCCCAGTCTCTTAACTTGCAAATGTTCTTGCGTGACACCAAACAAGGTGAAGTACTTCTTAGCCAGCAGGAGCACTACCTCAGCAAGGATGAGACGCCTACAAACTTGGAACAGGCAGAGAACCTCATTAAGAGACATGAAGCATTCCTTACAACCATGGAAGCTAATGATGAAAAGATAAATGGCATATGTCAATTTGCTCAGAGGCTTTTGGATGAAGAGCACTTTGCAGCAGACAAAATCCAGAAGAAGGCAGAAAATATTGAAGAACGTCGTCAACAAAATAGAGAACGAGCAATGGAGCAGATGGAACGTTTAAGGGACCAATTGCAAGTACATCAGTTCCTTCAAGACTGTGAAGAACTAAATGATTGGGTCCAGGAAAAACATATCATTGCCCAAGATGAGAGTTATCGGTCAGCCAAGACTGTGCATAGTAAGTGGACCCGTCACCAGGCCTTTGAAGCAGAGATTGCCAGCAATAAAGACAGGTTAATCAGAGTACAACAGGCTGGAGAGGAATTAGTTAAAGAAAAACCAGAGATGGCCGAGCTCATTGGACCCAAGATTAGCGAACTTAACCAGCACTTTGATGCTCTTGAAACCACTACCAAAGAAAAGGGTGAACGTCTGTTTGATGCTAATCGGCAAGTGCTTTATGAGCAGACTTGTGATGACATTGATACTTGGATGACAGACTTGGAAAAGCAAATTGAAGGTCGTGATACAGGAATGGATCTTACTTCTGTAAATATACTCATGCAGAAACAACAAATGATTGAAACACAAATGGCTGTTAAAGCCAAACAAGTGGAACAGTTAGAAAGTCAAGCTGATTATTTACAACGCATGACACCAGAGAAGACTGAGGAAATTAAATTAATGAAGGCAATGGTAGAAAAGAAGTTCGAGTCGCTCAAAGCTCCCCTAGATGAACGTAATTGGGCTCTGGCAAAAAAGAAAGAAGCATATCAGTTCAGAAGAGATGTGGAGGATGAGAAGTTATGGATACTAGAAAAGATGCCACAGGCATCTAACACAGAATATGGCAACTCTCTCTTCACCGTCCACATGCTAAAGAAGAAGCTCCAGAGTTTAAGCACAGAAATTGATAACCATGAACCACGCATTAATTTGGTATGTGCAAATGGCAGAAAACTTATTGAAGAAGGACACGAGAGTGCAGACGAATTCCACAAATTGTTAGAGGATTTGTTAGATCATTGGGCCAAATTGAAGGATGCCTTAGAGCACAGACGGTCAAAACTTTTGGTGTCGGAAAAAGCACAACAATATCTCTTTGATGCAAGTGAGGCAGAGGTTTGGATGAGTGAACAGGAACTTTACATGATGGTGGAGGATCGTGGCAAGGATGAAATTTCTGCTCAGAACTTGATGAAGAAACACCAGAGTTTAGAGTGTGCTGTAGCAGACTATGCAGAAACGATAAGACAGCTTGGAGAAACGGCGAGACATCTTATTAATGAAGAACATCCTGACAGGCAAGTCTTTCTCTTAAAAACTTATGGATTTAAAAATTTGAGGTATTGAAGAAAATTGCTTCATAGCATTGATTTAGTTTAATGAGAAGGATAGCCTGTTTAGGTTTTAAGGCATTCCATATGTTTGTTTCGTGTCTGCTTCTAATGTTTTAGTAATTTTCACGCCCTTGCTCTAGACCTGGTGTGATATTCAATTTTAGGCACTTCTCTTTCTCAGAATCCTGTAGCTGTCTCCTTCTTTTATTGCCATTCTAGTCTCTCTTCCATTCCCCATCATAATAGGCATTTGCTAGGATTGAGCTCTATGAAGTACAGTATTTGTCATTGATGTGCCCAGTTCTGTGGTTTGTTGAGATCTTCCTTTAGTAACTTGTAATTTTCCTCCATATTAATCCTCCTCGGCCCTTAATCAGCTTAAGGGCTGAGGAAGGTTAAGATGGAGGACAACATCTACAAACCTTGACATGCAAGAGCACACTTCCTTGGGTACGTCATTCATGTAAATCAAGAACAGTATTTTCCAAGAACTTTTGAAGGGGGGAACCCTACTTTATAATTCCTTCCTATATACATTTTCTTTCATTAATACTTTCTTTCCTGTCTCCTTCATCCAATCAAGTACCCTCTGAATTATTCCAGCCTACTTCTGTCTTGTGTAATTACCTTCCATTGAGTATACAGTAGTATTAAAGAGTTTTAGCCAGTCTAGGAAGATGGAATCAGACCATCACTCCTGTATATGGATATGGTTCGGGACTGGGGCTAGTGAGAAAACAAGTGCCTTATAATACCATGCTTGTTAATGTACTTTAATTCCTCTAAAAGCTGAACATTTATATAACCAGGTAAGATGAATTAATGTAGTTTTATTTTCTATTAGTGAACAGATAGGAATCAGACAGTCACAAATAGATAAGCTGTATGCTGGACTGCGGGACCTTGCAGTAGAACGACGCAGCAAATTAGACGAAGCCCTCAAACTGTTTATGTTGAACCGTGAAGTTGACGACTTAGAGCAATGGATTGCAGAACGGGAGGTAGTTGCTGGGTCGCATGAGCTTGGTCAAGACTACGACCATGTCTCGGTATGTATAATGGAAGATTAGTCTACGGGTATAAGATGCAATATAATTTGCCTTTGCAATTGAGATCATACACATGTATAATTATCATTTTCTCGTATTTCATTGCAGATGCTCCGTGATCGGTTTAAGGAGTTTGCTCGTGACACAGAAACTATTGGAACAGAGCGAGTTGCAGCTGTCAATGAGATAGCTGATCAGTTAATATCTGCTGGTCATTCTGATGCAGCCACCATAGCAGAATGGAAGGATGGTCTGAATGAATCTTGGGCTGACTTGCTGGAGCTAATTGAGACACGCACACAAATGTTAGCAGCTTCTTGGGAACTACATAAATTCTTCCATGATTGTAAGGACGTACTGAGTCGCATCCTAGAAAAACAGAACAGCATATCAGATGAACTTGGCCGTGATGCTGGTTCAGTTTCAGCTCTACAAAGAAAACATCAGAACTTTGTACAAGACTTGGTTATGCTTCAACAACAGGTAAAACCACTAAATAAATGTGTATTAATGTACTGTATCTCTAATTTAAAATATTAATTTTTTGTTAATCTTAAATTTGATTGATATTTTATATGCTAACATTAATATTTTGAATTTAGTTAATACTTTTTCTTCTTTCAGGTCCAACAAGTTCAGGAAGATTCGTCCAAACTACAAGCAGCATATGCAGGTGATAAAGCTCGTGAGATTACCAATCGTGAAGCGGAAGTGGTCTCAGCATGGTTGAATTTACAAGGCATGTGTGAAGACAGACGAATTAAGCTACATGACACTGGAGATCTATTCAAATTCTTCAACATGGTGCGCACTCTAATATTATGGATGGATGATGTTATCAGACAGATGAACACTACTGAAAAACCCAGGTAATACCATTCGGCACACATTCCCTAGTGTAACTTTTAACTTACAAAATTTTAATAATTGTTGTATCGTACTTTAGATTTTTTATTTTTTCTTAGCCATAAAACATGATTGTCTTTGACAGGGATGTAAGTGGTGTAGAGTTGTTAATGAACAATCATCAAAGTTTGAAAGCAGAAGTAGACGCACGGGAAGACAACTTTAATGTGTGCGTGTTTCTCGGGAAGGAGTTACTCTCCCGAAATCATTATGCCACACCAGAAATTAAGGAGAAGCTTATGTCGCTTAGCAACCAGCGCATCAACATGCTTCAACGTTGGGAAGAAAGATGGGAGCATCTGCAGCTCAGTAAGTCAAATTGTTATCAATACTCTTCATACAGTCAGTTGATTAGGAGGCAGAGTAAGGAAGCTGGAACTTGCTCCCAGCAAACTCAATTAGGCAATTATAACTAGGTAAAGAAAACACGTTTGCTATAGATCTCTCTCTTGTGTAACAAAGTTGAAACTGGAAAAGGTGTATATTAAGTATTGAAGAAAACTGCTAGTTTTGTTGGACATGGAAAACTGTTTGACATGGAAAAAGCAGCTACATGCATTAGTCCTGTATCTAAAACTATTTCTGAAAGTCTATAAAAGGCTGTAGACTTATTTGATTTTGATTATTTGATATGTATATAAAGTACTAAATATCCATTTCAAATGTGAATTTTAGACTATATTTGTTTATCTATATTTTAGTTTTGGAGGTGTACCAGTTTGCTCGTGATGCATCTGTAGCAGAGCAGTGGCTGCTTGCTCAGGAACCGTACCTCGTATCATCAGAGTTCGGGGTCAGTATTATTGGAAAAATAATTTATTGTATATTTATACCTATTATGGGTTCTGGGAGTAATTCTACTTCCTAAGTGTAGCCTGGAGCCAGACTTAACGTGTGACAACTTGGTCCAACAGGCTGTTGCTTGAAGTGACCCCACAGGCCCACATGTCCACTATAACCCAGTTGATTTGTACGTACAGTATTATGAAAAATAATTTTGTTTTCACCCGTGTTAGCATCAATAATTTTCATGTAATATGCAGGCTAAAATGCATAATTACAGTACACAAGGATTTATAAAAGTTGTACAAGCCTAATAATACTGTTTAGGGACCACCTCCTAATTTAAAATTTTGTCATACCTAATTTGTTAACTAGGTATGTAATTCTGAGAGTGTTGCCTAGTATTATGGAAATAAAAGTATAGTATAGACCAAAATATAAATGGTTATACTGCACTGGAGAGGGTCTCTTACAAATGGGTAATATGTTTTCTTATTGAAGACTGTTTCAAGGGTGTGGGGACAAGGATGGGCATCAAAACTCCAGACATCGATATATTTTTTTTTGTTTTTCTAATATTTCCATTTACTGCATGTATAGCATCCATTTTGGTGTCATTTTATAAGATGGCATTTCTTTTGATTCTTACTTTAAGTTTTGCAATAAACTTGAAATGACTATACAGTTGTTGACAGATAATATTAACTTTTAACATGTTCAAAGACTGACGACTTTATCCTATTTTTTTTCATAAAACGTGACCTGACAATAGTTTTACAAAATAATATTAAAATATTTACAATGTTTTTATTAATAATATGTTTCATTTTTAAGAGATCTATTGATGAAGTTGAAAACCTTATCAAGAAGCATGAAGCATTTGATAAGGCATGTTCAGCCCAAGAAGAACGGTTTGCTGCCTTAGAGAGATTAACTACGGTAAGTTTTTTGTTTTTTTCATTTCAATTGATAGTAATTTATGATTATTAGTATATTTCTACCAATTCAATCTAAACCAAATATACTATACATGCAAAAGTTCATATTTATATACAGTACCGTACCCATGCTGTTGAAGATAATGAAGTTTGGTTACTTGCGTAGTACATAGTTGTCGTATGCACAATACACGCATTATATCATCCAGTTGTTGACATCAGTGAACACTAGTGTTATAGACATTGTTCTTTTGTACATGCCTCTTGCTATATCCTGAACATTTATATATTTTAAATTGTAATATTTTTTTACAAATCTTGATCTTGGCAATTAAAGCTTGTATCATAATTAAAGTTTATTGGGCAAAGGAACATTTTTATGTAATTCATGACTCAAATTGATTGATTTTAAATAGATTTACTGACAAGGGTATAAGTATACTGACAAAGTGAGTGCTGAGTCCTCAAGATGTCCCCCCCCCTTAGGTTGTGGGGCTAAGCATCCCTCCTGGTTTGAGGCTATGCCTAGTAGTCTCTTTCCTGTCTTGCTGCACTGCCCTTGGTTATGGGGGTCTTGTAGTCTTGGGGGGGAGGGTGGCTTTTTACCATGCTGGTTAGTTTTTATGTATATTAGTGTCTTTGGTTCTGATCTTGTGTGTTAATGAGCAGTCTCCTTTATTGTGGATAAAGTTGTATCACTCCTGACTTCCCTCTTCATATACAGTAGGTTGTATGACCATTTGTAAACTTTGTCACTATGGGGCACTGGTAAACTAAAACCTGGCATGAGTGACGTGTCCTGGGAACACTGATCCTGGTTCGGCGAGCAAGTGAGAAGCTACTCCAAATGGAGTTTCATATGAATTAATGCTTCGTTTTTTTAAATCACAAGAACAGTTTGATATTTTGTTCAAATTTACAAATATTGTTCTTTGAACTGTGTCATAAAGATATGCAAGATATTAATCTTGATGTTTTAAACATGGAAATTCTACACGTTTCACTGTACAGTATATTAATTGCAATGATAATCAATATCTGTGCATCCAATAACAATCTTGAAATTTGACTTGGAGAATTGCTTAAAATATTTTGTGGAATTTGCTTAGTTGTATCCAGTAATTGGTTTTACATTCTTTGAGTGTTGACCAGAGTGTAACTGGAATTCATATAATGTATATATATAGAGCTAGTGCAGGCTTCCCCCCCCCCCCCCCCCCTTCCATTCTTTCCCTCAGTTCCCATACCTCTCCCAACCCTCTTGTCCCTTTTTCCCCTCTCTTTTTTCAGTCGGTACCATGCTGCTTCAAAAGCAAGGGTGGCAATAGCCCAAGAACATTGGGAGGAATAAATGCATTAGGTGGGGCCCCCAAGAGCTACAGTATATCTCGCTGCTTTCGTGGGTTGAGCTTTGGCTCTTTGGTCCTGCTTCAGTATAATTGGCAACACCACTGTAAAGCAGTGGTGTTGCTGTGGATGTTTGTAATGTGTGATAATTCTGATTCTGCGATGTTACTGAGTGTTGCAGAATATCTTTAGCTGCCTTTCCCTATTTCTCTCCTGTCTTCTCTGGCTGATGCCTTTCTGTAGCATGAAAATTAGAAATAGGGTGAGAGGATAAAATCCTTCTCAAATTAAAATTTTGAAATACTCATTAATAGGCTTTTCTTGTAATTTATAGCAAAAAAATTATTATCATTACTTACTGAATGTTGCCTGGATGATAGCTGGAATTGCGGGAACAGGATAAGCGGCTAGGCCTAACAGACGAGCAAGGCCGAGCTCTTTACTATGGTCAACGCTACACAGATGATGACCCGGTGAATGCTAGATATATGAAAATGTTCATGAAGGATATCATAGTTTACTGGCAAAGGGTTTTCAAATTATGAATCTTTTTCTTCTCCTGCTGGTGGTTTTTCTTTATATTTTATATTGCACTTTAAGTTAAAATGAGCATGCTTTATATTTCTTCCTATGGGAATATAGAGCATTAATATAATTGGAAATTTTCAAATCTGTTTATTAAAATGAAAGATAAAAATAATTGAGCTATTTCATCCTTTATGAACAAGGCTACTTATGTTGTAGCCAGCTGAGCACACACTCACTGCCCGAAGAATTGTGGGACTTAAAGCAACCTTATCTTACTAAATTGTCCAAAATGCTTGTACAAAATTCATATATAATATACATATATATTATATATGCAAGCAATATACATACAATTTTCAGATCATAAATTTTGTAAATGGTTTTCCAGTTATAAGTAATAAGTCCCTCATTTCTTTTGGCTATTGCTTACTAAAGACTGAATATTAAGGTTTTGGTGTGGTTGTGTAAAACTTGTGCAAGTATTAATCTTTCAGGTATTGTTGGATAAGGATTATAGGAACCTTGGTACACAGTCTTAGTTTGGACATGACTGTGTATCAATGGTAGAGTGTTTGGGGCGCTCTCAATTTGGAATATATTTGAAATTTTACAGACTATAGTGGTTACACACCAATACAGACACACACGCGCGTACACAAACACACAGTATAATATGTTATGACGTAATAATTACAACGTGTTGCGAGTCATATTTACCGAATTTGTAAATTAAGCATGAAAGCAAACAAATGGTGGTAGCTTTCCAGTAATGGTTTCACTGTAAAGTATGGGGTTTCATACATTATTGATTTGATAAATATTTAAAAGGATAATCTTGTAGATTCTATATTGTTCAGAGTAAAGAGCTGAACTGGTGGAAGTTACATGCAACAATGGGAGGGAGGGAGGGAGGGAGGGGGGGAAGAATTACATAGTACTTTGTGGAGATAATTATGGTGTCAAGCAGTTTCTTTTAGAAGTTAAGATGTAATCGGAATTGTGTCCATTAATTATAACAATAATGCGAGGCATCATAAAATTGAGTTATAAGTGTATTGATAATCAATTTTATGCTATATGCCAACTTATAATATAGAGACTCAGAGCTGCTCTCATGGCACCCAAAATACATCTTAGTCTTGTGTTTAAAAGCTGTGTAAAAGATTTGATTGATGGAGCAGAGGGAATAAGACTTAGAATGCAATTTTGGTTTCGTTAAAAGTCCTGTTTGTTTGGTAATCTGTAGCTTCTGTTTCGAATGTACCGTACAGTATTGCATTTTTTGTACTGGGTATTTTTGTCTGTAACATTGTTTGTGTTTGAAAAGTCTAACACACTGCTAAACTGATGATGTAGTTTGCAAGTAAAGAGTGGTGCATAGACACATGACAACATTTTTAGCATATAATTACTTGCATATTTGACTTCCTAGGAAAATTGCTTTGATGTACTCACATTGTGATAGTTTGGTTTTCTTGGTACAGTATTGGGGTAATTTTTACTTTTTTGTTCCTTGGGTTTTCTACATATACAACTGTTAAGTTACATAAGCTAAGTCATGTACTATATATGATGAGGTTTATATACTACTGTGTTAAGTCATTAGTTCTGCTATAGAGGGATTGTTGGCTAATAAATAATTATTTATAATAGCAAAACTTGTTAAACTGAACAACATTTGTGATGTATAGCTCTTGTCAGAATTTTGAAAGTAGTGTTAGAAAAGGTATTTCACAATACAAGTTTGTCTTAATATTTTCATAATCTCGTAGGTTTAAGACATCATTAAATTTCATGTTTTATATTTTTGCTTGCATGTGTAATCTAGTTGGGTTTTACTTAAACTACACTAACTGTCAACTGAACTACTTTTCCTTTATCCTGCTTGGTTTGTTCTATATCAGCAGTTGCTCTCACAGAGAATCTGATAATGTACATTCAGAAGAGGATGTGTTTAGGTCTCTTTTAAATTTTGTATGTGTATTTTTTCAGTACTGTATACTGTCTTTAATTTGCTTTATTATATAACAAATGCATGCTAATTTGTTTTTTTTTATGGTGATGGACAGCTTGAAGCCCTTATAGTAACTGATGCAAGATCACGTGCTAACAGTGTTCCAGGAACCAGTGTCCACCGTACCTTCCTTCTTCCTTACTCTCCTCCACCAGCTTCGCATCGGCGGCACTCACTTCCCACTTCTGTTCATGCATTCTTCACCGCATTTTCCTGTCCTGCTCTAACACAGTTACAGGCTGCTAGGTTCACCAGTATTCATACATTGCCAGAGAACATGCTGGCAAATTCAGCTCTTAGGGATTCTTTAAAGAAATGCAGGAGAAGATTAAATTCCACCTCAAATCCACAATTGTCTCTAACTATGCATGTAAAAGATTCAGATACAGATAGTTTGTTTTCAGATATGTTAAATCAGCGCTGCTGTTACTATGAAGGGCGTCCTACTAGTGCCCCTCCTACTAATTCATTACACATAGGCTCCAAACATTCTTCCTTTAATAATATATCCACATCAGCAAGTCGATCTCAATCTGTGGAAAATAGAGAATGTACAAATGGCAAGTCATTACATTTAGGTGTCCAAGATGGAGGCTGGGATACTAAATCCAGTGGTTCAGTTTATGAATTTGTTAGTGTAGATGAGTATGAAGCTCCATATTTAGAAGAGTCTAGTGACAGAATATCAGAATTTTGTTCGTATGGTGTAGAACTTGGAGAACTTGATTGTATTAATGAATTGGAGGATGACGAAATGTCAGAGCCAGTAAGTAGTTATAAGGCATATAGGAAAAGTCAGATATATGGTTATACAGACACAGCTGATGATAGTACTACTCTACCACCTATTTATGAGTTAGAAGGCGAGGGATCTGAAATTACTGAACTGACTGATACGAGATCTGTTGAATTTTTGAGCTCTGAAAGTCTACTCGATAAGTCAGAGAACTCGACTCGAAAGAATAGTAAAACCTCGTATGAAGTTCCTCAGTATCCAAAGCTCATGGACCAAAATTATTGTGCTCAATATTGCTCTGATAATGATTCCATCATGAGTTATTACTCGGTTGTCCCTCGTGAGGGCTTTACGGATAGCATACGCAATGTTGATCATTTAGTAGGAAAACTAGACTTAAGGAATGTGCAGGGGTGTCCCTCACCTGTCTCGCCTTTCCCTCTCACTCCACCCAATACCTGTGATTCCTCTCCTAAGTTCTTAAATATTAAACATCCTGCAAGAAATAACCTGCATGCTCTGTGTGGTGTAGAGGTAAAGTAGATTTTGTGTTTGTGTGTTGTATATGTAAAGTATGTCATGTCAGTGCCTCTGTGTGGCCACATCATGCCAGTATTTGTTTTATCTTTTTCTCCCTTAAGGAAAATAAGCTTTAAAAATATTATTCTTGGTATGTAATTGCTTGTAGTACCAAAGTACCTAATATAATAGCTCTGACTTAACACTTTCGCGCTCTCCGCAAAGGTCACTCAGCCAACCGAATGTGCGCGCTGCGTTTTTATCGCTTAAGCGTAAAAACAAAAATGTGTATACTCTTTTTACTCTTCTGACCTTAGTTCTCATGCTACGTATTTCATTTTGGTACCAACGTGTTCGCAATAAAATTCTCTAGAAGAACATCAGTAAAATAAGTCACGAAACATATAGGGATACCAGCACCAAATAAATAACTACGTAGATGACTCGCCGTGAGCGCCCATCAGCAACAAAATGTTTTTACTCTTGGGATTGTAATCACCTCCACACTTGTTCTACAGCGTTAATTTTGGTATCAATAGACTCGCAATGAAATTCCCAACACGGTGATATGAATATAAGCGTAGAATAATGATGCAGCCCGCCCGCAAGAGTGTGGGAAGTGGTGAAATTGTTTTCCGGTATCGGTGACGGGACGACGCACGGCGCTTTGAAAGTTTATACTTATTTCACTCTCATGACATTAATTTTTTATGTACGTCATTCATTTTTATGTCAATGTGTTCGCAATAGAATGTTCTATGTGCCCATAGGTAAAAAATATCAACAAAGCGTAAGTTAGAATAACGACAAATATAAAACAGCGCTGGAACATATCAGTGAGCGTCAAACACACACGAAATATTTTTACTTTTGTTATGTTTGTCAAGTTTATACTTGTTGCACACAGTTATTTTTGGTTGTATATTGATCGGAATAAAATTCCCTAAACAGACATATGCATATAATACATGATATAGGGGAAGAATTACCAGTATAAACGGCTAAAGTCACCCACCTGCAACCCGTTTGGGACAAAATACCATTTGATCGAAGTTATCCACACCTTTCATGAACTTATTGTACCATGAAGCCTAGTGGTGAGAAAGAGAGCCTCATGGCGCGCAGTTTGAAACAAACCCAAAGTAAATCGGATAAAAATTGAATTTTATACAAATATTTTAAAAGTTGACATAACTTTATGTCCACTATGCGTTAGCGTTAGACGAAACCGAACGCGCCGGCGCGTCCAGATAGCGCGAAAGTGTTAATAAGTTTCTTGAAATAATTTAATGCAACATAAATACAGAAGTAAACTTTTTAATGTGATACTGTCTGCAAAAAGTTTAAGATCAATTTAGGTTAAAGGAAAGTGTATTTGTAGGCAGAAGTAATTGAATATATTTGGGAAAACTAGTTAACATTATGGTTAGTTGAAATACAGTACCTGTATAATACTTGAGCATCATTTTTATGTACTGGAGCTACCAGTCTCTATAATACATTTGGCTATACTCTTCAATAAGCTGTATATTACAGTATGAACTGAAGGAACTAAAGCGAAAGCAAGAGGAGGAGGAGGAAGAGCGACGAAGACAAGAAGAGTTGGCGAGACAAGCTGCTGCTCCTCCGCCCCAGTCACCAGATCAGCCTACAGATGGGTTAGTAGCCATTTTTGTTTTCTGAGCACAAATGTCAAGTGGATTATACATTGAACACCTGATGTGATAAGTTATTTGTTGGTCAAAAGGTACACACAAAGGCTCCTTTATCCAAATTATCCGTTTCTGCCCGAAATGCTGCGCGTACTAGTGGCTTTACAAGATTGTAAATACTATGTTATATATTCTTACAAACCCAATGTACCTTCTTGTATATAAATAAATAAATAAATAAATGAATAAAAAATTTGTGAAAGGTGCATAGATGTTAGTTTAGCCACAATGCTGATGATGTTCTGCTCGTGTCCCTTGGGCTTTAGATTTGGGTGGGGTGAGAAGAGTGTGTGTGTGTGTGTGTGTGTGTGTGTGTGTGTGTGTGTGTGTGTGTGTGCACATGTGAGGTAGCTCATAACACGTCAATATTTTGAGGCCATATGCACTGGATATTAGTATATATTCTAAGGTTGAAGACACAATATTTCCAGTGTCAACATATAACATTACCAACAGTCAGTACAAATGGCAAACAACTGGAATGGTTAACTAACATAAAGACAAATAAGTTATATTGTGGCGACTTTCCTTAGATGTAGGCTATTCAGTAGGCTAAAACCCCATACCAGTACATTTATGGAGTAGGCAACATAATAAGTCTTTTATATCATAACTTGGATGGTGAATATCTTGATAAAAAGGGTTGTTTAAGTAATAATCTTGATTTTTAATCATAGGGGGACTTTTGCACTCATTAAAAAATTAATTTAAAGTAATTTAATAAAATATAAAAATAAAGGCAATATAAAGAATCCAAGATTCTAATATCTCTAACCAATTTTAAAAATATTGTTTTGTATTTAGTAGAGTAGCGTAAAGTAACAATCTCAGAGGATATTGTGTAAAAATGTTTAGTCACTGAAAAATAAATTGTAGAATGAGATCCATCATTTTGCTCAAATTGCAATTTTGACAAATGTAAATCAAAATATAATTCAAAATTTAAAATCTGCTCTTTCTGAATTGTAGAGTGATGTACTAATATCATATGGAAAAATCTTGGAAAATTTATTAATTTATTGGGAATCTAAAACCGAACGTACTGCTTTTTTTAGGATTTCACAAATGTCTTTGTCGTGCTCTGTTTATGAACCTTCACTTGTAAGTATAGGTTCAATACTGATGGAGGTTTTGATTTTGTATATGTGAAGAAATATTTTGGATTTTTCTTTCCGTATGACTTTCCGTTGTAGTTGCATTTCTTCAATTTGATATGATTGAAGAAATAGAACAGAGACTGAAGCAATCTCCCTGTTTAAATTATGCCTTCTTTGTAGGGATAGTCATGTTTGGTTAAGCATTTGTTATTTTTTCCTTCTGTAGTGCTGTCTGCATTCTCTTTGAGAGAAAGAGGACTCATTCTGGTCCTCTTTCTGCCTTTCTGCAAAGGAACATGTCCCGGACTTTATACGCTTTGGCAGTCACTTAGTTCAATTCTTTGCTTGGGATTTTTATTACTTAGAACAGATGGCAATGTTAACATGTTAAAGATGGCAATATGTGTGTATTCCATTTAATGAGAGCTTATATTTACCTGCAAATTTTTAAATCGGCAGACCCCATGGCATAGTGGCAAGACACTCGCCTGGCGTTTTGCGAGTGCTTTGGCCTGGGTTCGTATCCTGGCCGTGGAGGATTTACTGGGCGCCAATCCTAAACTGTAGCCTGTTTACCCAATAGTAAAATAGGTACCTGGTTGTTAAACAATTTGGCGAGTTGTATTCCAGGGAAAATTAGGATTAAGTACTTGCCCGAAATGTGTGCCAGTGTGTGCTAGTGGCTGTACAAAATTGTAAGAACTCGTGTGTATTAAAAAAAGTGTCCATCCTGTAAGTTTACCATTGTCAAGCTTGATTGGTGTCTAGGGGAATATTACTTGCATCAGACCGTGTTGGCATGCATCACTTCAGACTAGAGGCGTTGACTGCTAATTTGAAAGTCATACAAGACTTATGTGCTTTAAATGGAAGAAAAAGACTTTTGGATTATACTGGATTCTGGGTAAACACAATCGGCAAAAATGATGCTTGACTTAATTTTATTAGTTATACATTTTGTGTGGTTCCAGAGTTGATGGTGCAGCAGAGGACTCTCATCTCAATGGAGAGGAGCTCGACGAATCACAAGAAGGTAAACTATGGCATGTTTAATTTGCTTGAGAGTGATGGCTATGCCATGTTGAAAAGTGTGGCCTGCAAGCATATGTTTTATTGAGTGGAGGCATCAGCCATTGTACCTTTGCTGATTTGACTCATCTCCTGGCCTTTTGCATCATTGAAGACATGATCTGTCGATGACAATTTCTGCTAGAATGTTCGAGATTGAGGTAATTTGATAAATGTTAGATAAAAGTAAAGGGTTGATGGGTTTGTTAGTAACTACTGTACTGGTATTAATAAACTTGTATGGTTCGGGGTACAAATGCATGACACGTAAACACATCGGAAGAAAAATCTGATGCTATAGCTCATGACTGTTTAATTTCAGTCATGGTAGTAATCATTAATAAGTTACTAGTAAGTGTTAATTTGTTACATTATTTGCAGCATAATTTGTATTTATTGTGGGGTTTGGTTTGCATGTGTGTGTGTTGGGGGGGGGGTGTTGTGTGCCAGTGCGGTGAGATGGTGTTGGTTTGTGTTTGTAGGGCATTGGGTGGTTATTTGTTAGTGGGATGGTGTTGGTGTGTGTGTGTATCATGGGAGGGAGGGGGTGTTGCGTGTCTGTTCGGTGGGAATGCATTGGCGAGTTGGGAGGGGGGGGGAAGGTTGAGGTATGTGCAGATGGGGGTGATGGGTAGAGTTTGTTTAAGGGGGTGGAGTGTTTTTAAATTGCATGAATTTGAGGGTGGGGGGGGATGGAGAATGCATGCACGAGAGCATGCAAATGCATGTTTGCTTCTGTGAGTGCGTGAATGTGTTTGAGAATGTTTGTGCGCGTGCATTTTTGCGTGTGTGTGCATGCGTGTGAGAGCAGAGAACAAAATGCAGTTGATAGAAGTATTCACTTTTTGCATGGGCTTTATTCACATGAGATTTTTTATGGTTTTAAATCTCCATATAAATTTTCACTTAACAGTAATATAATATTGAAATAGGAGCTGGGACAGAATTCATTGTGGAATACTGTTACAAGCACAAGCATAATGCTCAAGCATGTGTGCACAGCAAATGCACACAAGGGCACTATAGGCTGGTGCACTGCACAGCATGAACTTTTGTCACCTTATTACAGTAGGTAGATTCACTCAGAACCAAGGTGTAGTTTTTATTTTATCAGTGTTTATTTCGTTATTAGTAATTAACAGGGTAACCAGTTTATGTATTAAATATTCGTAGGTTAGGTGAAGGAGAGCTGCATCCAAGTATAGGTATTCATTTGCACATTGCTGAAGAGATATTTATTTGTTATTTTATGATCAGCTGTTGAACCACCATCAGCAGTGCTTCCTTCCAAGGGCCAACCCCATACGTTGCCCCGAGGTAAGACAAATCACTAATGGCAATGTGTGATGAGCTTCGCACTTTTTTTAATTTTTTTTTATTATTACGATGCTTAATGATTATCTCTTGTAATTATGTAAACTGATAATGTTGCTTAATCATCACTTACAATTTAGGTAAGCCTGTATAATAATAAATACTGCTGTTTTCCCAAAGAACCTTTTCCAGTGCAATTTTCTGTTGTAAATATTACTCCATTTTATTCTCAGTTAAGACTGAAGACTGAGAGAACTGCTAGTAGAGTTAATGAAAATGTAACATATACAGTTTATGCCTCCTTAAAGTTTAGAATTTTGACACTGTCCCAGCTATTATTAGTATTTTTGTCTATTTACTAACTTAAACTGACATTGGTACATGAAATACTAATTAGTTCTACTTGGAGTTTGTTTATGCATTTTTTACCAAAATTTTTGTCTTGTGGATTATGGATTATGGTAACTCGTGGCTTGATACTATTCTGCTGATCTTTTTTTTTATGACGACAATGTCTACATGTGGCAATACCATATCTCGGTGTCACTTCTTTGGGTTGGTTTTGGAGTTTCGTCTCTTCTGTTGTAGCGTTGGGTTCTTACACGAGGTGATTATTGGTTACCTATTTTGTTTGGCATATGATATTACGTTGTCTTCATTGGTATGAGCCTTTAAAACTCTCACCTGATTGGTGGAGGTTTGCACGGCTAATGTCGGTATTTTTCGTCCATTCTCGGAGAAAGGTGAGGTATATTTTGTCGTAGTAAGATGTTCTGTATTTGTAAATTTAGTTTGATTTGTATTGTGTATGAATGTAGCTTGCACAGTTCTTGTTATAATTGTAATTCTATATATTCCAGTACTGTAATAGTTTTTTGTTCATTAAGCATTTGTTATTAATTAGCTTTGCACATGTTACAAACATGATTATTGTATTAATATATATTGTAGTTTTGTTTAAGAGCAGTACTATAGTTTAATTTCTATAAGTTAGTTATAGATGATTGAACTAAGAATGAGTTGTGCATGATTTATGCATGATGCATGATGGGCATGCTGTGCTGTGTTGTAGAGCATGATGAGAGTGGAGCAGTGCGAGGGGGTAGTGCACCTAGCACCCCACGACCTCCTTCCACTCCTGTCACCCCCACTGCTGCATCGAGCGCAGTCCGAGGGCGCCCTGTCTCCGCCACCCTCCCTCCACAGTCATCCCTGTCATCCCCAGCTTCGCGTGAGTATTCAATCCCTTAAAGACTGGGCCGCTTTATGATTCTTGGTGGTTTAATAATTTTATGAGTTTTTAAAGTTGACTTTATATTTGTTATTTATATTTAGTAGTACGTATATTGACATATTCTATTAATGTTTTCTGTTACGGCAAATAAGTGCTTTTTAGCTCGCGCGTCAGAGGTAAGTGTGCTTGCTTATCTTTTGATAATGCACCCATTCTTCAATTTTTTCTGTCTTTTTTATGGCCTGCTCAAAGAGTTAATCCTCTCCATACTTCACTCGCTTGAAATATACAAGGTAACATGTGGACTGTCAAGGTGTTCATCAGCAAACCGTTATTGGTTAATAAGGGTGTAGGGATTAATTTGATTTCTTCCAAATTATAGTATTGCTTTATGCTAATAATGCTACTCACACTATAGTACTTAAAATAGCATACAGTTTATATATATAAACACAAACTAATACTTAAATTTGTTTTAAGGTTTCTAACATTATTAGGTAGTTTCAAACTGCACTTCAGATATTGAATGATTGCTTAATAACCTTGCTACATGGCAGGAAAATGTATGGATATGGGTGTCCATAAATGCAGTTTGCATGTGCCTCCATGATTTGATCAGGCAGTCTAATTCCATAAGTTAATATCATGGAAAGTACTGGTTAACAATAATAATTTGTAATTTTTCTAATTATTTTGACATTAAGGGTCATGGTGGTTGTCTTGATATTGTAGTTGACGGATAATTTAGACGTATTAATTTTTAGCTTTCTCTGTGGGGGTCAGTGTTGGATTTCACTTTAGTGTAATTGGATTTGTTTGCACTGGCTAAGAACTCAGCGGGTTCAGAAGTATAATAAAGTATGGAGACACTATCCTATTTCACTGTTATACACCACAGCTTATTTTAGCCCCTGCAGCAAGTTACAATCTTTGCTCTATCTAAATTTATATATATATATGTCATACCTAGTAGCCAGAACGCACTTCTCAGCCTACTATGCAAGGCCCGATTTGCCTAATAAGCCAAGTTTTCATGAATTAATGTTTTTCGACTACCTAACCTACCTAACCTAACCTAACCTAACTTTTTCCACTACCTAACCTAACCTATAAAGATAGGTTAGGTTAGGTTAGGTAGGGTTGGTTAGGTTCGGTCATATATCTACATTAATTTTAACTCCAATAAAAAAAAAATGACCTCATACGTAATGAAATGGGTAGCTTTATCATTTCATAAGAAAAAAATTAGATAAAACACATTATTTCAGGAAAACTTGTCTTATTAGGCAAATTGAGCCTTTTATAGTAGGCCGAGAAGTGCGTTCTGGCTACTAGGTACGACATTATATATATATATATATATATATATATATATATATATATGTCGTACCTAGTAGCCAGAACTCACTTCTCAGCTTACTATTCAAGGCCCGATTTGCCTAATAAGCCAAGTTTTCCTGAATTAATATATTTACTATAATTTTTTTCTTATGAAATGATAAAGCAACCCTTTTCTCTATGTATGAGGTCAATTTTTTTTTATTGGAGTTAAAATTAACGTAGATATATGACCGAACCTAACCAACCCTACCTAACCTAACCTAACCTATATTTATAGGTAAGGTTAGGTTAGGTAGCCAAAAAAAGCTAGGTTAGGTTAGGTTAGGTAGGATAGGTAGACGAAAAAACATTAATTCATGAAAACTTGGCTTATTAGGCAAATCGGGCCTTGAATAGTAGGCTGAGAAGTGCGTTCTGGCTATTAGGTACGACATATATATATATATATATAATGTCGTACCTAGTAGCCAGAACGCACTTCTCGGCCTACTATAAAAGGCCCAATTTGCCTAATAAGACAAGTTTTCATGAATTAATGTTTTTTTGTCTACCTAACCTACCTAACCTAACCTAACCTAGCTTTTTTTGGCTACCTAACCTAACCTTACCTATAAATATAGGTTAGGTTAGGTAGGGTTGGTTAGGTTCGGTCATATATCTACGTTAATTTTAACTCCAATAAAAAAAAATTGACCTCATACATAGAGAAAAGGGTTGCTTTATCATTTCATAAGAAAAAAATTATAGTAAATATATTAATTCAGGAAAACTTGGCTTATTAGGCAAATCGGGCCTTGAATAGTAGGCTGAGAAGTGAGTTCTGGCTACTAGGTACGACATATATATATATATATATATATGTATATATATGTATATATATGTATATATATGTATATATATGTATATATATGTATATATATGTATATATATGTGTATATATGTGTATATATGTGTATATATATATATATATATATATATATATATATATATATATATATATATATATATATATATATATATATATATATATATATATATATATATATATATATATATATATATATATTTTTTTTTTTTTATGATTTTGGCAATAAATTTTCAATGGAAGCAAAAAAGCAAGATAAATGTTTGCAAGTTTATTTTATTTTGAATTGCCCAAGGCACTTGTTGCCTAGTTCCCACCGGCTCTTCCTTAAGAAGTTTGGTGACTTGACATAGATGCATCAATTTTTATGATAAGTTGCATCTTTAAATAATAATTTGTTGACACAGACTCGGTCAAGCAGCATACAAACACTCATGACTATCAGCTCTACTGTTTTAAGCAATGGCAAATTGCCAGACACTAGTAATTAAGTATTTTAGCACAGACAGACCATTTGTGAGTTGAATTGAACCATGCAGAGATGCACTTCCGGAAAACTCTTGTTTACATCAAACTTTTTAAGAATCTTAAAAGAAAAAGGATGCATTTCAGAACCAAGAATTTGATTAAGACAAATTTAGTGTAAAGTATAAACAGTTTAGTCAACTTAACATTACAACATACAATTTAGTAAATATTATATTTGCATACATTTTAAGATAAATGTAATACAGTATTCTTTTTTGCAGATAATTTTTGTTTCAACAATAAATTTGATGTCAAAATGTTTGCAAGTGAATTTGAAGTAATATAGATGCAAAACAAAATGTTTTGATATTAGTGTACAATGATGCAGAATATATGAATGTTTATGAACATTAACATTCCAACATTCCTCCTTTGCTTTAAAAATATGAATATGAAAATGTCCACACATGATCGGTCTGTATCTCTGTAAAGAGAAAACAAACATAACTTCCATACTTCACAAGCAGAACAAGTATCATTTTGAGTGATAAGTAGATGGCTAAGGTGATCTCTGGATGTTTCCCTAATAAGCCACTTCCAAGCACATGATTTTCTGGAATTTTGTGATGTAATTCTTTTTAGCATCATCAGTATACTATCAAAGTGCAGATGACCCATTTTAGAGTTGTCAGAATGCTAAAGTGTTACTGTAAAAGCAGTATTGTATTGTACTTTCAAAATTTACCTGCAAAATCAATGTTTTAAGTTACAATGCTGGTGTGTTCTACTGACCATGTTTACCTGGACTGTTAAATATTCATAACAAAGACCATTTTTGTTGTGGTTTGGAGGAATTGTAGTCCTAATAACGTAAAGATAAGCTACCAGCAAATGTATGTGTTTCTGTCCATAAAGGATAAACAGTATAGTATACACACACAGATCACACTAACGTGATGCATTAAATGAACAAATCCACAAGGGCCGTGACGAGGATTTGAACCTGTGTCCGGGAGCATCCCAGACACTGTGGGATTAAGGCAGTGTCTGAGATGCTCCCGGCCGCAGGTTTGAATCCTCGTCACGGCCCTTGTGGATTTGTTCAGTATTGTATAACAAAATTTCAGTTTTGCAAAGCAAAACGTTTTGCCAAGGTAACTTTTACAGTGACCATGAATGTTTAATATATACATAATGAAATTGATCTCATTAATTGAGCAAATGGCAGTTTGTGAGCATACTACTAATAATCTTCTAACCCTAATGTACATCCTCATAGTAGAAAGATATGTAATGTTACAAAACTACAAATTGGGCACACTACCCTTATTTGTAGTCCATTAGGGTAGTTTGGCCATTAGGTTTATTGGGTTAGGGCAGTGCAATTGTGCCATGTTGTATAATAAATGTGGCATTGCTTTCCTTGTTAAGCATGATCTAATGGCCAATTTGGGGGAATGCTCAAGTGAAACACTCACTGCTTGGGATGAACCTCCCAGACATTTGCTATAAATATTTGACATTGATCCTGTAGCTTAGTAAATACAAGACAAAACATTTCAACCTGTTATAAACCTGCCCCTACATGTTTTAGTCATTGTCAACCCTATGAACACTTCTTTCATCCACCTGGTCATTCTCAGCTCTGAAAAGCCAACTGGTCCTAGCAATAGGCTTATGGTTGCCATATTTACATAGATACATAGTGGAGTTGTGCTCAAATGGAATTTTTTTCTTGGAAGCACAGATTCAGTGGAAGAAATCCATTTTACGTGCAGGATCATTGATTGGTTATAACACAAAAAATTATTGAAGGTTTCTAGTAGAACAAGTCCACATGAACCTGAATGTAATGTCTAAAAACTAATTTTTTAACCGTAATATGTATTAGAATTTACCCTTTTATTGTGAGTTTGATATAAAGTATTATATTGGCATAAATAGAAGTACAGTTCAGATGCAGTAAATGGGGTCCAGAACATGTAGTTCCATCGAGACTACTGTGATTTTTATTCTTATTTGTATTGTTGCACAATTCTATTCATGAAATTTACATTCAGCACAAAATTCATATTTAGATTACATTTTATACAATTTATTCAGTTTAAAAAGTTATGATTTCCTTTGTTAAACATATGGTGCAGTGGGTGAAATCCTCAGTTGACAAAACATTGTCCAGCCACACTAGAGATCTGCAGTTTAACTGATGATGGCTCAATGCTTAATGAAAAGGAAGCATTTAACCTATACCTATAACCTATACCTATAATGGTTAAGTTTTAATTGTAATTACGAAGCAATAAGATGCTTATCTTAACATACTAGGAAGGTTAGGTAAGGTCGGTGTTTTCTATGAAGCTTTTCAAGGTAAACTAGTATGTTTAGTATGTCACATATGCACGTATTTAATAAGTCAATATTGACTATACGAAAGTGCGAGAACGGGTTGGCAGAACACACTACCATATACAGTATTGACTGCTACTGACCTGATGATCGATGCTGTGCACTTGACAACGGTCATACAGTATCCAGCTTGTGGGGGACAGGGTGGCCAGTAAATGCCGAATTGTGTAGTCAACTCATTCAATGTGACTTTCTATCAACATGTATGTGCAAATACAAGTTCTATCATTTGCAGTTAAAAAAAAATGTTTGCAGTGAACAATGTCTGGAACCAAAAATGTTTTTCCATAACAACTTAACAATAAGGTACAGAACATATTTAGAAGTTGTGCAAGTGTTCATTATATGCTTTTAGCATAAATTTATAGTAGGTACACTACCTGAAAAATCACACACTGCAGTGCTAGGGGTCCCAAGTTTGCTGATGATACTTGATTGCCAAAAGTAGATATACTGTACTGTACTGTATCTTTTTATTATTATTATTATTATTATTATTATTGCTTTTTAGCTGCATGAATTTTAGCATGCTTTGGCTTTGCATGTCTGCTTAGGGTTAAAGCTTTCCACTAGCTTTACTATCACCAGCAGATTGGTGTTGTGGCATGATCCTTGATATGGCTTCGTAAGTAGACAAGGCCTCAGTGGAGAACGTTGCCATTTCTTTTAAATCTGTTTCTATCCTGGTGATGGGTTATTCCAAAAATACCATACTCAATCAATTGGTATTTTTTTTTTCTTTAGAAAAAGCCAGCTTAACTTATTTTGGCATTAGTTTCTCAGTTCTCCACTGTGGTCAGATTCGGTGTCCCACCGACAATGTTCTGAACCCTGTGCGTTCCTGTTTTGTCTGTTCAGCCCCCACTCCTGCTAGTAAGGAGTCGCGACGGAGGGTGCGTTCTAGATCGAAGTCTCCATTCCGCTCTTTCCGCTGGAAGAAATCCAAGTCTTCTCCATCCGGAGCACCGGGTAGTGCATCTGACGATGAATCAAATCTGGAGAGGGCAGCAGGTAATTGTGATTACTGAAGAGGTGCACTGCAGACATTAGCAGTATTTATATATACACTCCTTGTTACCTAGTGTATTTACTTAGGTTGATTCATATTGCAGTGGCAAAGGAGTACTAGGTTTTCATGAGGCATTTCGAAAGTTGTTGTAAAGAACCCAATTGGTACGTTGAATATTTCCAGGCATATGGCTTAAATGAGTAATTGGTTGGATGAGGCAAGACTGAATTGCTTGGCTACCAGCAATAAGCTTTTGCTTGACAGTAAACAGATTGTGTGTGTGTTTCATCCAATCCCCTAAAGATAAAATGCCGAACATTGTATGGCATATTGGTAGATGTCATATGAGGTTGAGTTCATGTTATCTTCCCTAACATGCAGCCCCAAAACACCCACCCTCAGTGGCCCCCACTACGGCTGCTACCACGGCAGCGGCCCCCACAACCCCAGCCAAGGAAGGTATGGTTGGGATGTTGATCAAATCTAGTTTGTTTTACCAAAGTTCATCATTCTATATGATATTAATTTTGTGGGCACATTTTCCTCTTGAATTTTGTTTATTAAAGTTAATTTGGTTTATTGTAATAATTTTTATGGACATTTTGGTTATTATTATATGATTTATCATTCATACACTGTGCTGAATTGCAACTGTCACCTCTTCCCTCCTAAGTTTTAATGAAATCCCAAATATTTGTCACAAGCTTTTAGTATTAGTGTGAAGAAAGAGAAGTTAGCAGTGCTTTAAATTATCAGAATTTTGTGAAACAAAATATTCCTAAAGCTTGTTGTGATTGGAGTGCTTTTAATAATTTTAAGCAGTCGATGAAAGCATTTTTTGTGTTTGGTCTCTGTTGGTTGTATGTTGTAGAGCAGTATGTTGTGGAGGTTTTGTTGTGGGAGGTAGTGTACATTATAGTCTTGAGGGTTACTCTTATATGTTGATTACTTGGTGCAGCTTATTGTTGATGCTACCAGATTTTATTTAGCTAGTCTGTAATTGCCTTCAGAGATTGCCTTGATAATGTTTTAGAATGTACTGTATACACATTAATACTTGCAATATACCTACAATTTGTTTTGCCTAATATGCATGGATCTGTGCATGATTCTCATCCCGAATGTTATTTTAAGTTTCAGTATTATTATTCACGGTTTATATTTGTACATCCATGAATGCAATTTTATTTGCTGATATTTTTGCTATGTATGATCATAAAACAATTGAATCAGTATTTTGTCAGTATTCTTTATTTTGTTTTGTTCCACAGTTGTTGGAATATTTACCATAATTAAAATAGTAAGAAAAATAATGATAATGAATCCCTTGACAAATCTTTATAGAAACATCCATGGCGTGTCTCTTTGAATAATTATATTTGGTACAGAACGACCAAGCCCCAGTGGAGATGAAGATCAGCTAGAGGGCAGCTTGGTGCGTAAACACGAATGGGAATCTACTACAAAGAAGGCCTCTAATCGGTGAGTGTGTCACATTGCTTTAATGAGGATGATACATGAAATGTGTGTAATTACTTAAGTGTAGTTACAGGATAAGAGCTATGCTCGTGGTGTCCCGTCTTCCCAGCACTGTCATATAAGGCTTTGAAATTACCGATGGTTTTGGTCCACTGATCCAGTGGACAAAGATGTGTATAATCATCCAAGTGTAGTTACAGGATGAGAGCTATGCCTGTATGTTGGAAGTATGTATGTATGTTTATGTTGAAGTGTTTTAGGAGTGTTTGATATTGATGCATTAGGGAAAGTTGGAGCATTTACCATGTAGATTATACACAATAAATTTTAGTGTTCGAGGAAGGTTGATAAATTGCGCTCCCGGCACCTTAAGCTGAATAATGTGAAGTCTTACTGATGATGCTTCTAGATATGCATTCCAAATCTTGTTTACTTGTTTTGAACATTTGTTGATTTTTGGGTTAAGATCACTATTAATGACGACTCCCAGATTATCTTGTCCAAATTTGGTAGTTTCAGCTTTATCTTATTACATAATATCACTGTATTGTGCAGTAGTCTGTAGCCTTTTTTTATTTTAAAAATTACTTGGTTCACATTTTATTGCACAATGTTATAATCAAAGAATTAATATAATGTATATTTATTTTTAGGTCTTGGGACAAGGTGTTCCTGGTGCTCCGTGGAAACATGTTGATGTTCTATAAAGATCGCAAGAGCTATCAAGCTGCTCCAGAAGTCTTCTTTAGAGCTGAAGCGCCTTGTGATGTTTCGGGTGGACAAGCATCAATTGCTGATGATTACACGAAGAAGAAGCATGTTCTACGACTTAAGTAAGTTGATGTACAGTACTGTATATATAGGAATACTGGGATGACTGGAATGGAAGTTCTTGTCAACATAAATATATATACTGTACTTGGTTTCACTAACAAACATTAGAATAACTGTCAGCTTTTTTCTGGACATTACACATGAGCTGCCTTGATGAACATGCATCATGACATTGCTCTTAATCCTAAAAGTATTAGTCATAACTGATCTCCTGGGTAATGGTGTTATTGTATGTTGATTTTAGCTATCACTCTTTTTTTTATACAAATGTAAATAGGATTACAATACATCTATATAGATGTAATGGAATTAAGAGACCCATTACAAAAATTCAGTTTTAATTTTAAATTGCTTACAATTGATGATATCTTGTACCACAATGACTGTGATTATCACCAAATCACAACTTGGTATTTCCTGCCTGTGTTTTAATTCATTTTGTGGATGATGTTACTAGATAATAACTGCAACGGTAGGCTGCAAAATACTTCCTTTGAGCTGTACCATAAACAGATTTACTTACAATATAGCTGTGCATATTACAATGTTTTTGTCAATTATATCTAAATAATTATTCCAGTGTGTGAACTAAAGGGAAATGGGGAAAAAAACACTCACTCACAAACTCGCACACTCACACACTCTCTCTCACTCTCACTCTCACTCTCTCACACACTCACACTCTCTCACACTCTCACACTCAATCACACTCTCTCTCACTCAGTCAAATAGTCATGACATGTCTCGCCTTCACTTAGCGTGTCAGCAGTACTGTATCACATCAGTCCTGGACCAAAGAACCCCCTCCTTACTTGGTAATCTCGTGTGTTGTGCAAAACACAAAATGACAATTTCTTTTTCCTTTCTTCCTTCCTGCAAAGTTTGCCAAGTGTTTTAAGACTTGCAAGGGTACCCAAAGCACTTGCTGAAGGTCTACCAATTGGTGTGATTGCCATCCAATTTTTTTACCTTCTATGTGAGAATAATGAACATGGCTCACTTTTGTCTCTTCCATAAGGTTATTAAATTGAACCTAATATTTTTTTGCAGTATAATTTTAATCATTATGCTGATTTTGTAGCACTTGTTGAGGTAGTATACAATATTAATGTAAAAATGCTGGGGTCATTCTATAGTTGTGGCAAAAGGAGTAAACATTTTAAATATAAACAAAATGATATAGTAAAAATTTATAGCATGGTGGCCATCTGATTTACTTTTATATGTACTGTACTATATTTTTTTTCTGTAGATTGATTGGTGGTGCTGAGTATTTGTTCCAAGCCAAAGATGAAGAGGAGCTGACAGTATGGGTTGGATCTCTCCAAATGGCTGCATCCGCTGAAGGATCAGCCGGTCCTTCTCGCTCCCAGACTCTCCCAGCTGGCTCCGAGAAGAAAGACGAGCCCAAGAGACGCAGCTTCTTTACTCTCAAGAAGAAATAATGGGCTGAATGTCCATAACTATTTACTCTCCCTTTCCCTTTTCTTTATTTCTCAGCCTACACTTGACACCCTTCATAATCATTTCCTTTTCAAAGTCTCTTAGCAATATCTTGCTCTTCTAAGCCCGGTTTCAGACCCAGTGTGGAATATATACATGAGAGTTGAAATGCTAGTGCTGGTCTGGGCTTGTATTATTGGCTGCTGTTTTATTGCTATTGGGTTGGAACAAAGTAGAATCTGCTTTAGCATCATCAGCTTCTCTTTATGCAATGTTTCCCAAACTGGGTCTGAACGGTAGCATTGTGAAATCATGTTCATTTTCGTACATCAAATTTTTAGTCCCTAGTGTTCAGTTAACAATACCACACAAGGTATTAATTTTTCCCATGGAGTAAAAAGTGATGATAGTTTTGTGTACTAGCTCTGGTGGAAGAATACGTGAGTCTGTGCAGTTCCCAAATGTTGTCTGCCTAGCACTGCCATGGCTGAGTTTTCCAATGTTTGTTCCTCTTTTTGTAGGGACTTGTGTGTGAAATTGTATATTTAGTATTATGTCAGATGTCCCATACTTTGTGAGAGTAATGATTTGTTAATTTTATGTGTCTCTAGCTGTAGTACCACAGTTTTGACTAGATAGCACATAATTGTATTGTACAGAAATGATAGAATCATACCTATTATGCTGCTTTATGCTTACATTTTTAGACATAGTATAATATTTCATGTACCACTTCATAGTTGTTCAAATCATTACCAGAGTATGGAAGGCCAGCCAGTATCATAATTTTTGTTAATGGGCAAATTCATTCTGCTTCAAAGTGTAGGTGTGGCACAGATATGTTCCTTTATATTCTTAAATTTCAACCTTATCTGGTCTTATCCTATGAAATCAAGTTCTTCATCTCTACATCGGCAATGAATTGAAGACTCCAGGCATAGTACTTGGACCAGCCACCTTCTACCAGATGGCCAGTTTTCCCATGTGGTCAAGATGAACACGGTATGGCTTGCCCTCACTGTGCTTGATTTTGTGCTTTAATTAACGTCTGATTACAGGCTGACTAGTTATCTGCTGGAATCTCTTGTTGGAAATTCTCTGATACTTAACCAAAGTTTCTGTAAAGTAATTACATTGGGAATTAATATTTCTACATTCTAGTCAGGTAACTTTTACATATCAGGTTCATCTCAGTCATATATTTTGGTGTAAATGTTTACCAGATGGGGTTGAGAGACCTGACAGATCTATTCTTTATACATGACTTATGTATCAGTCGTGATTTTAGCATTTGTTCTTGATTGTATTAATTTGTGTTTTAATGGGTGTTCCCTTTGTATAAACCAATTAGCATTTACAAGAGCTCCAGCAGAAATTACTGGCAGCACTATGGTGACTAACAGCAGTTTTATGCATTGTTCCACAAGCTATAGACATCTATCGGTCATCTACCACTAACTTTTTAATGGAGGGATGTTAGATACATGCTTGCTAGCTTTAAAGCTATAGGGTAAGGTGTCTGGCTAAGTTGAGATTGGTAATCTTAATTGTTACAGATAAAGTGACCACTGTATATCATATATTGTGACACTTAAATAAAATGGTTTAAGCTATGAGATGCATTTTCATTTATACTAACAAGTTTTGGCCTGTCTTCTTTAACTTACAATAATGCTACATTTGGAAATTAGATTTTCTCTCAGATTTTCACAGCACTAATCTCATCAGTAAATCTAATTGCCTTTCTGTAACTTTAGTGGCACACCCTTGTTAGTGATGCCTCTTATTTCTGTAATTTGTGTACTGTACCTGAATTTAAGTTTAGTTGTTATTCAAAACTGCTCCTAAATAACTTTCATAAATTCTTGTGTACACCTGTCCATAACTCGTGCTTAGGCCACTTTGTGTGTGCATAGCAGCGCACTCATCACAAAGTGGTACCATTCTCCAGTAATAATTTTTCATTATATTCCCTCTCCTGGAATGTTTCTTAATCTTTGGATAGCATTCAGTTTCACTTCCAAAAATTTTTGCTGTACCTGATTTTCATGAAGGAACTACAGTGGTAAATTAGGGTGGGTTTTTACTACCACTGTTGTTAGTACAGTACTTCTATAGCATTCACTGCTGCTGCTGCACCACTACAAACTTTAAGCTTGCTTCTGCCTTCTTAATTATCCTCTTTAGTGCCTGCTGTACACATTATTATTTTAACATTATATTAATTTTCTCTAAACGTGACAAATTGCATATACTGTATAGTAGATTCAATTCTCTGATCTCTCTCAAAGAATGTTTAAGAACATTGAGCGAAGGTTATGGTTGCTTATATCGTGTTCCTATGGATACCTAATCCATTAAAGGGAATTTGCCCACAAATCGGGGTTTGTTTTAGATGAACAAATTACATTTTATATTTAACCCTTTTGTTGGGGTGCCTTGGATTTAGCCATGTTCCCATCATGTAGCTAAAAAAAAATTTATTATATAAATTAATAATTATTTAATAAGACCTGCTTTTCCATCATTAAAATATAAGGACAAAGCTATTTTAAGGTACATTTCTTAATAGAAAATGGAGTCTAGTAATTTAATGAGGCAATAAGCATTCCCAATGCATAGTATATAAAAACTGCAACAAAAAACATGCCATATATTTGTATTATAAAGCAAAATATAGCTGTACTTATATTTAAACTTTGTTTTCAATTATAATAAAACTGCTCATTAATTATTAATTGTTATAGTACTTAATATGGCAAACAATTTTTGAAGAAAATGTTGAAATCCCATTTTATATTTGCTTTATTTTTTTCTAACAATATAATTTCAGTATACAGTATCATGCTTCATTAATTGTTAACCATATGAAGTATTAGGATATTAATTTTCAACTAACCAAAGCAAGAATTTATTGTTTGTTTTGCATGTAGTTTGAAGGTTTGTGCTTTACAGGTGCCAGCTCCATGTGTAGGTCACTCACTAAAATAGAACCATATTTATTCCTGATTGTTTTACCATCATTTCCTTTTCTAGTACAGGTACTGTATTTTAATAAACAAATTACGTAAATGAAATTAACTTCCATACTACAAGGGCACAGGATAAACCAAATCTCCTTGCAATGATTATAAAGAATTGATTAGCGACTGCTTAAAGTAAGCTTAGTTCTGGACCATCGTAGAGATTTAGAAAATATATGCAATAAAGGTAGCAAGACTTGTAAGGAACGTAAATCTAAAAGTAAAATAACGACACTTTGAAAGGAGTTAGTGCATGTCGAGCCATTAGCAGTTTCAACTGAAAAGTGTGTTATACGAAATTATGCATGTGCAAAATTAAGCATGTGGAAATTACAAGCTAATATGGTTTACTTTCAGCTGGGCTCTTGTGTAGTGTTCTGTAACCACAGCCCAATAGTTAGTTTGGAGAAAAAATATTAGATTTGCATGACTAGAGAAGCACGTCAATGTCAGGTTACTTGTCTGTACTAACATACATAAAAATATGAAAATAAATGATAAAATATATATATATATATATATATATATATATATATATATATATATATATATATATATATATATATATATATATAACTGAAAACTCACACCCCAGAAGTGACTCGAACCCATACTCCCAGAAGCAACGCATCTGGTATGTACAAGACGCCTTAATCAGACGCCTGATTAAGGCGTCTTGTACATACCAGATGCGTTGCTTCTGGGAGTATGGGTTCGAGTCACTTCTGGGGTGTGAGTTTTCAGTTGCATATGTCCTGGGGACCATTCAGGCTTGTTCGCATATATATATATATATATATATATATATATATATATATATATATATATATATATATATATATATATTATATATATTGTATATATATATTGTATATATATATATTATATATATATATTATATATTATTATATTATATATATATATATATAATATATAATATATAATATATAATATATAATATATTATATAATATATTATATAATATAATATATAATATAATATATAATATAATATATAATATAATATATAATTATTTGTATTTAAAAACCAGTTAAGTGTTTAAACTTCAATTATTTTCTTGGATATAATTGCAACATTCATTTCCTAAGTTATTTTCTGGTCATATGTTTACTTGAAAACATGTTGCTGCAAATTATTATTAACATAGTATATAATAAACAAAATCAGGACATGAAAGTCTTATCAGTTTATTGTATTGTTAATGAATGGAGGAAACATTCTGATCATTTTCTAGGGTTGAAGGGGCCTAATTTCAACCATATTGTGTTTGGTGTGAAAAGGCCAAAATACAGTTTTGTAGGCACCAGATGATGTACTGTGATGTTGGGTTTCTGGACCAAACACGAAATTGCAAGAACTAATCATTTCTTAGTGAAAAAATATTGCTTTCTGGGGCTTCCCCCCCCCCCTCCCCTCCTCCCTTTATTCTGATAAAGTAATTGGCTGTTCCTTAAAAGTTCTGATGTTTGACTGCATTATCTACCTGGCAAACCTTTAGAGTCGATTCTTTTGTAGCGCAGGTGCCTGGCAGATTTAGATGGTTTTCCTCGGCCCAAAATGATCTTCAAATCGTCAGGGCTTGCTCCATCTCTTCATACTTGGGCTTCACTTTTCTCAGGTCAGAACTGCCACCTTCTGTAACCCTCTTTTGCTATTTACAATTTTTTTTCTCCAAAGATTTATTCATGCTTTCAGTTAAGTCTATACAGTATTGTGTAATATTTAATAAGGGCTCACTGTTTAAATATTCCTATAAAACAAAGAATCCATAGCCAGTTAAATCAATCGGGGCGGCTTTTATATGCATATTGCAATGTGCAATTATATATACTGTAGTGTATATATATATATATATTTCATATAATATTCACATGTACTGTATGTACAATGTGCATATCCATCCCAGGTTGGAGGCTAGACACTTTGGTCTAGCCTTATCTAACTTTGCAGGGGTAATGTTCTGGGGTATAAAATGGACATAGGCTGGCCTAGGGTAACCAGAATTCAAGGGAGAACAGCATATCAGAGGCACATTTTAACCCCACATAACAATTTTTGGCACTGTCTGTCGACTATACCTAACTCCAGATGATCCTCCTACAATTTCAAAGGCTTTCTCAAATTAGATGGCAACTATAATTTTGTTTGAATATTTCACACTCCTAGGCGCCTCCCACCACCGGTAGACTATTATATTATTTTATTATATCATTATTATAATATTATATATTATAAAAAATATAATAAATGAAAATATCTTGTAAATATAATATTATTTTTATAAGAGATTAGTCAGCAAAAAGTCACATACATAGAGACTGGGTCAACCAGAAAAATAAGAGAAAAGAAAACAGAGACAACATATACAAACGGACAGGGACAAAAGGAAGAAGGGGGAGAGGGGAGAATGTTTGAAAGGAGGGAAGAAGGGGAATTTTTGAAGCGAGAGAGACAGTTGGAGGAGGGGGGGGGGGAGATAGGGTAGGAGAGGCAAGAGAGGGGGAAGATTGTGAGAGGGAGGATAGGGAAAGAGATGAATAAGGAGGAGTGGGAACCCCCCCCCCCCCTAGTGTGTGTGTGTGTGTGAGTATAAGTGTAATTTTTGTTTACAATTGTGTCCATTCCTGCAATTTCTAGACTTCGGATCTTGGTAATGCCTTTGGGATAAGTAAGAACCAATCTGGTGTTCTTGACATAAAATTACAAAACATTGAAGAGAACATGGTACATAGGATAAACTGATGTCCAGTGTGCTTTATTTTGCACTTGACCCTCTTTACTGTTCCTATTAGTACTTGGCACTTGTGTGTCTTGATAATCTGGCTCTTCTTTGTACTTATCCTTCAATCTTAAGTTAATCATCGGCAAAGGAGACGTTCATTCATTCATCCAAGTGATGCCACAACATGAACCATCAGGTTCATGTTGGTTCAAGGAAGACATTAAACAACACTCTAATCTACTTGGAATTAAAGCACTTTGAAGACACATTCGACTACATTCAAACCCCTTTTAAGCATTACTTGACATCAGAGACACATCCAAGAGTTCACTGACCCATGTACCTGCTACCTCAAACTGTAACTTGGTGTTAGCACGTACATTGTCAAGGTATCAGCAGGGTACCCTCACAATGACCACTGTGAAGAAGGTTTTTATTGTAAAACATGGTTTAATTTTATAATGTTTAGCATTAAAATAATGTTCTTGGAGGGTTCTAAAGGTGAAAAATAGAAGAATGGGTGCTAAGTTATTAGTGATACTGTAAAGAGTAAGTACTATGTCTTGAAAGTAACTAATAACTTATAGGGGGACAGCAAATTTTCCGCTAATGTAGTTTCTCGTTTATTCTAGGTTGGGGGCCAAGCTTGCTCCTCTTTCTCCTCCTGGTTGCTGGTAGGAAGTGGCTACTCAAGGTTCCCTGTGTACATGAAAGTAAACAAACCTGTGACTGACAGCTAAAAGTTCCTGGCTGTCTTCCATTACTTAATGTATATTGATATTAGGTTGTATATCTTAAGAAATTAACCAGGTCAGCATGATGCAGCAAGGTTGATGATGATCCTTTTTTTTTATAAAAGACGAAACACGATGTTCTGTAATATAAAGTGGAAATATGTACAGGTTATTATAGTGATTGAAGTATATATATTAAAATGCCTGCAGAAGTTTGTTTTATACATATTTAACAGTTGAACATGTTGTGGTTAATTTCTTAATTACTTTTATCTTTTTTACAGTCTTCATTAAATTTTTTAAATTTTTTCTACTGAATAATCTAGCTTATATTTTTAAATCTTTTAGTCATGAGATCTTTAAAATGTTTATTTACATAAAATATCTATATAAAGTATTTAATATCTGACCCATTATTTTGGATACACTGTAGTTCTTCTATTACAATTATCAGCTTCTTAGCTTTTAATAAATTTATATTTAAATAATCTAATTACTGACTAAGGGAGAAGATCAGTACTCATGGTGTATTTTTCTCTGGAATAAATTTATAAACCTCGGTTGTATTTATAGCTAATCAACAATTTGACTATACAAAATAATAGTCTGTTTTCCAGGCCACCAAATGGCTTCATTTATGACATGACCATGTTAGCCACTGTCTTGTTTGTGCTACTAAAGAAACGACCGAGCCAAAATTTTCTCATTTCCCTTTATTAACCCTTAGTTATGCTTTAATCTGTTCAAACACTTGCCTGTATGTACTGTCACATTATTCTGTTCAAAATCAATAAACAACTTTACCTCTCTTAAATTCACTGATGAAATTATCCTTAAAATTGAATAGAAGGAAATGGTACAACAGAATACAAAAACAAGTTGAATTAACAATATATATAATAGCGGTATCACCTCTAGTGCAATTGTAGGGACCCATAGCCTCGAAAAAGAAAATAAAGAGTATTCAGAGAAGACCTTGTGGATTCTCACTGAACACTGATATTTTCCTCACCTACCACCCCTATTTTGTTTTGTAATGGGAATTACAGGTTGATACGGGGGAGAAGCTGTCGCCTATGCAGCAGGTACCCCCTCTCCACGGTGCCGGAAGTCTCCAATGGAAAGGCAAACGCCAATATGGTTGGTTCCAGCACCGTCGCAGGAATTATTATTATTAATTATTATAATTATTATTAAACCATTATATTAAATCGCTGACTAAATGAGCTCTGCCATATTATAATGGTTAGGATTTCGGTTCCCAACCAGGCAGACATTGTAACCAAATCTAATAACAATTAACAAGGAATTATCACATTGTTATCTAATTGAGAATTAGTAATTGACCTCTAATTGGTTCCGTTTATCTCACCAATGCGATAATTTCTTCACCATATTTTCACCTTACAAATGGGTCCTTTTTTTCACCTCAAAAAAGATTTTCACCTCACAAATGGGGATGTTTCACCTCAAGGATTTACTGAACTCACTAATGAGAGGCTTTCACCATAAATAAGGATTTTTCACCTCACAAATGAAGATTTTTTCACATAACAAATGAGATTTTCTCCTCCAAAAGGAGGTTTTTCCCACCTCACTAATGATGATTTTTCCATCTCACCAAAGAGGTTTATTTCTCTGATTCCATGCACCCTCCAAACCCCGTTTATGACAACCTGTCCTCGACTCAAGTCCATTACTACATTTATATTTCAAATATAAATTAATATTAATACATATTAGCATATTGTGCATATATAGGCATAGGTTAGGTTAGGTGTTTAGGGTCTGTTGGCGATCATTTGTATTTGTAGTACTGTACCTGGGTGAAGCATTTACAGCAACCCGTCCTCGACTCAAGTCCATTACATCCAGCGGTCGACCCCACAGACGCATTCATAAATTTTAATATGCTGTTCATTCAAAACGGGAATTTTCTCAAGTATAAATTAATATTATAATATATTAGCATATTGTGCATATATAGGGTTAGGTTAGGTGTTTAGGTTCTGTTGGCGATTATTTGTATTTGTAGTACGTGGGTGAAGCATTTATAGTGTTGTGATTCGAACAAAATTCATCAGTGAAACACTTGTTCCGGATATGTTCGAACGTCAGCAGTTGAGAGTCGTGTGTAAACCGCTTTTCATTCATAAACAGGGGGTTTGGCGGGTGCATGGAATCACTTTTGGATCTTTGTTTGGAGGACGGGCTGTTTACAGCGTTATGGTTCGAACAAAATTCGTCAGTGAAGCACTTGTTCTGGAAGTGTTTGAACGAAATCAGTTGAGTTGTGTGTAAACCGTTTTTCATTCATAAACAGGGGGTTTGGCGGGTGCATGGAATCACTTTTGGGTCTTTGTTTGGAGGACAGGCTGGTTTATGAATGAAGATTGGTTTACACACGACTCACAACTGATTTCATTCAAACACTTCCGGAACAAGTGCTTCACTGACGAATTTTGTTCGAACCATAACGCTGTAAATGCTTCACCCACGTACTACAAATACAAATAATCACCAACAGAACCTAAACACTTACGTAACCTAACCTAACCTATGCCTATATATGCACAATATGCTAATATATTATAATATTAATTTATATTTTTGAGAAAATTCCTGTTATGAATGAACAGCATGTAAAAGTTTATGAATGTGTCTGTGGGGTCTACCGCTGCATGTAATGGACTTACATCCAGAGTGCAAACCGTGTGTCGAGGACGGGTTGTGGATGACGTATGTACTTTTCTCGAACAGTGCTTTCTTCACGTTCTCGGCTGGAATCACCAGACTGCCCTAGAAACAAAGATCCAAAAGTGTTTTCAAGCACCCACCAAGTCCCCCCCCCCCTGTTTATGAATGAAAAACGGTTTACACACTACACAACTGATGACTTTCGAACAGTTCCGGAACAAATGCTTCACTGACGAATATTGTTCGAACCAAAACGATGTAAATGCTTCACCCATGAAGTACAAATCAGCCTGTCCTCCAAACAAGCACCCAAAAGTGATTCCATGCACCCGCCAAACCCCCTGTTTATGAATGAAAAACGGTTTACACACGACTCACAACTGATTTGTTCGAACACTTCTGGAACAAGTGCTTCACTGACGAATTTTGTTCGAACCACAACGCTGCTTCAAATGCTTCACCCACGTATTACAAATACAAATAATCGCCAACAGACCCTAAACACCTAATCTAACTTATGCCTATAAATGCACAATATGCTAATATGTATTAATATTAATTTATATTTGAGAAAATTCCCGTTTTGAATGAAAAGCATGTTAAAATTTATGAATGCGTCCGTGGGGTCGACCGCTGGATGTAATGGACTTGAGTCGAGGACGGGTTGGTACTAATGCAAATAATCGCAAACAGTACTTTAACATCTAACCTCACCTATGCATAACTGTACTTAAAATTTTAATGTAAAATAATATAAATCTCCTAAGGAATCCCCCCCCCCCCAAGAAAAAATGATGAACTAGCAGCTCGCAAAATGGAAATGACTTGTTTTCTATTCGTGGGGTCCTCGGTTACGTAAATTTCGGGCAATTCAGTACATCAGCAGTAGCGGTGTGAATGCTGGAGAGGACGGGCTGCATAAAGCGAGAGTTTGGCGGCTGGATTAACGAGCATTTGGCCCTTTATTGATGAAGACAGGCTGACGTATGAGAAAGGCTTTCCTACACCCAGAATGGTCGACGACTGAGCTGAATTGGTGGGTACAGAGTTGTGATCTCGTTGACATGGAACTAACTTACTTATCTTTTTCAGGATGGGTATATACATATATGGGATTACACATATATTTAGTGGAATGTAGATACTGTATATGTTTGCCGTTCTTATGAGTTTAATTTGGTTGTACGTATTGAATGTGTCAGACGAATGACATAGCCTATGCTAGTAATTATAAACTAACGCACGGATATTGTGGCATTATACAATTTTCAACTTTATTAACAATTTCATAATATCATGAATTCTTTACAGAAGACTTAAATTTGTTCATCCATATATTAATTATACATAATAGATCTAACCGATGTAAAGAAACAGACTGCGTGAATATTATTGTTGTAAAAACGTGGTGTAAAGTGTTATAAAATATAACTCCAAAACCTTATATGGTAAATAAAAGTAAATAACCTGAATTTTCTAAGGTTGAGTATTGAAATGAGGTTATGTAATTATCAGAAGAAAGCGCTAAGCCCGCATGACTGTATACCACTAAGAAGGAATGCGAAAATAGGGAGGTGGAATGTGATACCAGGTGAAGGAAGTGTCGGGGTCCAGCCACTGGAACCATCGGGGAAATACTGGAATACTTGGACGTGCATTATGTCAGTTTGTGATTGTATATTTTTTAATTTGGAATGATGTTAGTGTTGGGGTATAAGACCTATGGCACTTGCCGTGGCACTTGCTTATTGACTATCCAGAACGAAAACTTTAGTTCTGAACATAGTCCAGGACTATCTTGAGATGATTTCGGGGCTTAGTGTCCTCGCGGCCCGGTCCTCGACCAGGCCTCCACCCCCAAGAAGCAGCCCGTGGCAGCTGACTAACTCCCAGGTACCTATTTACTGCTAGGTAACAGAGGCATCAGGGTGAAAGAAACATTTTGCTCATTTGTCTCTGCCTCCACCGGGGATCGAACCCGGAACCTCAGGACTACGAATCCGAAGCCATGTCCACCCAGCTGTCAGGCGCCCGTAAACTTATACTAAAGTAAACTCTTAGTGTATACACACATAAGTTTATAACACAGTTATTTACGCCCTTTATTTCACCTGATACCTCTGTTCACTTAGCAGTAAAATAGGTTCCCAGGACAGAGGTATAACTGTTGTGGGTTACATCCTGAGGAGAAGAGAAGGGAACTATCAGGAGAAAGTGCCATACAATTACAACTATATACAGGCGATGAGTCACAATAACGTGGCTAAGGTAAAGATTGACTTGATCGACTTGAGAATGGTCCAGGACGGACCGAAACATCGTCGTCCCTTCACCTTCAAGTGTGTGGTCTGGTCAACAACTATATAGCACTGTAAAGGGGTCATGATAAGAACTTGTGATAGAACGGGGGAAAAGAATGGTGCCCAAATACTTAAGAGGGTCGGGGATTGAACGCCGACCTGTATGATCGAGACCGTCGCTCTACCGTCCACCCAAAGTGGTTGGGTAGCCTGAGGAGAAGCAGAAGTTAACCCAGGGGGGACCTCGATAATAATAACTACCGACAATGGGAGAAACATTTCGGATTTAAAATGATGCTAGCTGATATAAAATATATCTAATATTACCTATAAATAATAAAATATTTCAAATAACCTTGAAATTATTAAAATATGATTTATAAATTTACAATCATGTGATTGTAAAGTATTTTAAAATGATGGCAAGCTGCGAAATATTAATATTAAGCAGCGAGGTGATGTCAACCACACGAGGCTCACACCGGCTTGTGATGTTCAATATTTGGATTAATTAGGTTAATTAACAGAGTAATTTGATTATTGTCTACTTTTATATGCGTATTGTGTGGTAAGTTAAGCATGATTTATGGGTAATTTTATCCCTATACGATTTGTATTACTACGATAATTAGATTTATAATGTGGTTTAAATCAACCGGTTCCTTAATAAATGACTAGGCTTGGGATTATGAAATAGTTGC